ACAGCAGAGTCACTAAAGTTTGTCATCTCCCCTCACGCTCTTTATGCCCAGTACCAGCATGAATAAAACCGTTCAGACCGTATGTGATTGTTCTGAACGGCCACATGGAGAGGCAGCAGCCCGGACTTGGTGGATCTGTTGGTGTCAGCTCTCAGAGAGAGTAGCGCCTCCACAGCTGAAACGTGACCGTTCTTACAGGCTTCGTACAGCGGCGAAGCTCCATCTCCCGCCTGTCCATTTATATCTGCACCTGAAAACATAAAGACATGGATGTCAGCTCCTGACAGGCACTAAAAATAACTGGTGGACCGGTCTGAGTGGCGGACCATTTTTTACGAGCAGGTGGATGACGTCGACGTGTCCGTGCTGCGCGGCAGTGAAGAACGGTTGGATGCCGTAGATGTTTTTGGTTTGCAGACTGGCTCCGGCCTCCAGCAACAACCTGCAGAGCTCCAGACATCCGTGTCTGCAGGCTTCATGAAGGGCACTTAATCCCTGACTGCAGCAGCGATTTACCTGAGCTCCAGACTTCAGCAGCAGGTCTACAATGGCTACTTTCAGATGCTGGCAGGCTGACAACAACAACAAGAATTTTACGACATTATTTTATTGTCCACACAACATTTATAAACTTTGCATTTCTTCCTGTCCCTGTAAACTATTTTAATCCCTGATTTCACTTTACAACAGCGACATCACTGTAGCTTTCAACGGGCTCTATGATGTCACCTGTGAACAGCGGTGTTTCTTGGTCCTTGTTGGCGATGTTTGGGTCGGCTCCGTGCTTCAGGAGAAAGTCGACACAGGAAACATTTCCACGCTCGGCAGCCAGGGGCAGAGCGGTCTGATTCTTCAAATTGCATTTGTTAACTGAATCGGGATGAGCTGAGGGCAGAGGTCAAAGGTCAAACTGTTTTTGACTCGCATGTACTGGTTAAACTTTATTACAACTTAGCTATGAAAAAATCCTCACCAAAGTAACTAATAATGCCATGAGGCAGAAACAGTGGAGCTCATAACATGGACCAACTGATCAGTACATTCAACGCTGGAGCCACCATAACAATAGTCATAAAGCACGGACCGCTAACTGTGAAAAGCAAATATCAAACTGAAGAAAAGATTTGAGTTTGACAATCCAGCTTGAAAATCTTCCAGCAATAATAAGGGCAATATGAATCAGAGTGAAGCATCAGTTTCACCAGGTAGATCATTGACTTCAATAACACACAGAGGGGGTGAACAGACACTAAGGTTGGTACATGTTAAATATTTGTAATCATCATAACTGACATGGGCCAGATTGGACAATGTATATATAAGGTACATCAACTTGTTTCATGCTGCAACAGATTCGCTGTTCAAAGGTTTACCATCACAAAAGTCTTTAGATTTTAGACTGATCAATTCTCTGGGAGATGTCCATTAAAGTAGAACACCTGTGAAAGGCAAAAACTTGATTGAACAGTAAATTCAAAATGGCTGACTTCCAGTTGGGTTTAGGGTTTGCTCCATGAGATGTTTTTGGGATTTTTCATGTGCCGACCAAACTTTGTACATATCGGTGAAATGTAGCTAACTGCTAGGATCAAAGTATAAAACCTGTCACTTCATTTTGCCAGGAGGTGGAACTATAAGTATAACTGATTATTGGCATGTACATGGGGTTGGGGTCTGGTTCACATGGCGAAATATTGATATTTGCCATGCAGCCATGGACACGTCATTTAACAGAAACTTCTGCCACACCCATATTTTCGAACAGTCCTAGAAGTCATTCAAAGGCACTGTAGAGCTGAATCGACCATGTCCAAATGTGATATCACAACGAAATACTAGTTCAAACATGGGAGCAGTTTTGTGAGTTTTTGCACAAAATAACCAATATCTAATAACCAATATCTAATGACCAATATCTAATGGCCAGTATCTAATAACCAATATCTAATGACCAATATCTAATAACCAATATCTAATGACCAATATCTAATAACCAATATCTAAAACAAGTATGAAATCAACTTATGAAATTCAGATAAAACACAAACTTTTCACTAAATCATGTAATTTATGTAATTTTGTTATCTAAAGATTAGTTAAGACCAGGATTCATTAGTCTGGTAAATCATCATGGGGTTAACCATGTCAATAAAGTATAACCAAACTCAAATCCAGCCCTTCATCAGTGGTAGTACTCACCTCTGACCAGGATCTGGACACACTGTATCTGTCCATAAAAAGCAGCTTCATGAAGAGCAATCCAGCCTTCATCATCTGGGTCTGTCAGACTGCTGGACCTGCATCTGACCAAATCCATCAGAGCCTCAGCATCTCCATTCATAATCAGAGCCTGCAAAGGACTGACCTCTCTGAGAAACAGAGAAACACTGAGACATTAACATGTAAACAACTAGAAAACAACAACAAACAGCTCATCTGGACATAAACAAACCCGGATCTATACAAACATCCAACATCTGTTGAAGGACTGGTACAGGGTGAGCAAGGAGTGGCTAACATCCAGCAGCTGTCTGTTGTTGTTTATTTTCTGCTGTTAGATGTGTGCTGGCTGTTTACAGATATTTTCTGACTGTTTGCTGACTCACCTCTTGAAGCCCTTGTAGAGAAACTGCGACAGGGCTGTTGGGGGGTTTGCACAGTTTGGGACCTCTGGGGGGTCTGAAGGTGGAGGTTGTAATGGAGGTACGTAGTACAGGTTCCTGGGGGGGTCATGTCTCTGTCTTGGATTTGGGTTTGTTTGGGTTGGGGTAGCCAGGACAGCCGGGGCAGCAGGGGCTGAGGATGATGATGATGATGATGTGATCTGGTCAGAACCTGGAGGACGGTGGATGTCAGCAAGGCTTCTCTCTACAGCAATCTGCAGCAGCTCTTCATCTGACAGGTGACTGTAAACATCGTAGTCCTCCAGATCAGAGACGGCCATGTTGGATTTTATGGTTGGAGATAGAATCAGCCGTTCAGAAGAGGTCCAGTCAGTTTGGTTCTGGACTAAGAAGTCTCTCAGACTCTCAGCAGCAGAGTTTCCCCATTAAACCTACAGTTACTGGGACAAATAAGTGCTGCAGGTCATTTGAGTCGACCTCTTTGGATTTTGGCTGAACATGCTGGTGAATGTGACTGGAAGCCGTGGAGGTCAGTGGTGTTTCTTTTCTCTGTCCGGAGGCCAAAGTATTCAAACGGACTTAGAGCTGTTGATCTGATCTGCAGAAGAAAGATGACAGAACAGTTTCCTTCTGTTTGAATCTGTAGTGTCTAACAACTGAACAAAGATCAATAAGTATCAACTCTGAAATGGATTCATATTACTCTTCTCTCTAACCCTAACCTCACCTAGAAATAGATTCCTCCTGCTGCTTTGACTGATATATAACACAACACCATGTATAAAACATGAACAAAACGACGTAAGACAACATAACAAACCACAACAAACATAACGTGACAAATATTACATAACACAAAGTAATACAGCATAACGCAACGTAATGCTATATAACACAGCAAAGCGTGACATAACACATCTTAATGTAAAGTAAAATAGAGTGATGCAACATGACACAAACTGACGTAACGTTGCGTGACGTCGCGCACTGACGTAACGTACTGTGACGTAATGTGGCGTGCGTCACGCAGCGCGACGCAACGCAGCGCAACGCAGCACAATGCAGCGCAACCCAAAGCAACGCAAAGCGACGTCATGCAACCTAATCCTAACCCTACATAACAACATAAAATAAACATAATGTAAGACATAAAATCACAAAACCAAGACAAAGTTTAATTTAATAACATTCAATAAAATAAGTCCCTTGAACAGTTATCACACAGAGCTTGCACAATATATTACAAATATATTCTTATAGTGTGTATTATTATTATTAATTATTATTATTATTATTATTATTATTATTATTATTATTATGACAATATGATGTTCATGAATTACATTTTCCTGAAGTATTTTGGTTCTGTGTAGGAAACTGTGTCAAAGAATTTTTTACAAAAAGTTTGTTTTGAGGTTGACTGCCCCAAATAATTGCCCCAACCCTAACAATGCAACACTGATTGTGATCTTAAAGGACTGACTAAACAGTTTGAGTCGTACCTGTGAAAAGGTCCAATCAGGAGTCAGTGCTGTCACAGTTTCCAGCAAAAATCCTCTGTTTCTGTCCCAGAGAAGTGGCAGTAGATCTGTTGGTCTGTTATAGAAGCAGCGGCAGTAGATCTGTTGGTCTGTTATAGAAGCAGCAGCAGTAGATCTGTTAGTCTGTTATAGAAGCAGTGGCAGATGAAACAGAAACCTGGCTCTTGTTCTAAGACTTTAGTGTCTATGACCTGGTTACAGCTGCTCTCACTGACAGAACTGCAGACTTAGACTGAAGTAGAACTACAACACATGAACAGATGTTTCTATAAGAGACAGGGTAAACTCCACACCTCCAGGATTATAGGGTTAAACATCACCAGATAAACCTCAACTGTCAACTCATCAACAACATTATTACGCATGTAAACTATCTTATGTGTTCATTATGTAGCCCCCCACCCCACCCCACCCCCACCCCCACACACTTTATATCAATATTTTATAATAAAACATCATTAAACTACAGCACAGTCATGTCCATAAACTGGACTTTGTGAATGAGTTTGGTCACTTACCACCACCCGTATCCATGGTAACCGCTTCAGCTGCTGCAGTGCGGGCCTTAGCCTACAGCTTACCCGCCTAGCGCTGCCCATCATCCGGTTCTGGTCCGGTTTCAGCCCGGTTCCGGTCCAGTGAGCTGGGTATAGCCTCCAGTCTTCAGAAGCTGCAAACTGCTGCCTCTCAAATCTCCATTCAGATTTGGGACAGTTCAACTGATTTACAATCCACCAGATGAAATGGTCAGATGCGGTAAAACGCTCTTTAAGGTCTGACGTGAACTCTCAACTTTAATGATGTTGGACTCGCTCGGTTCCGCCTTCAGTGTGGGAGACAGACGGAGCTGTGTTCAGGTGGATCGACGTTGTATTGAGATAAACACAGTGTAGGCCGAAACGAGTCGTGCCGGTTTCTAAAATCTCATTTTTTTTCTAAAGGTTTTATCGCTTTACAAATGAGCACAGACGCATTAAAGCGCTAACGTTTCAACGCAGTTCGGCGTGACGTTCGTACCGCAGAGGACAGACCGGCTGGGTGTAGAAGTCAGGATTTTATCCCAGTAAATGGTTTTTGGTGAGTTGGGTGTACGCCGAACTGAAGAGGAGATCATGTCGATTTCTGACATATCTGATATTCGAGGTCTCCCACATTCTTACTCTTAATAATCAGTAAATAAATTCTGTAATACGAATTTTGGACGGAGTCTGGCGTGACGTTCTCTCTGCACAGAGGAGGCAAAAACTGTAAAAGATTTGAATGGAGTCTGTGCTGCCTGGTGTTGTGAAGACCCGCCGGAATGAAAGGTGATGTTTTTGATGTCTGCTGCTCTTCGGTTTTAAACTTTTCACGTTGTGGGTTAACTCGCGTGGAAATAAACGTTAAATTATTCATTTTCTAACGGAGTCTGGCTTGACGTTTCCTCTGCATAGGAGCGTGGATTGGCTTGGAAAGCGTTCAGCTATGGGATCTGATGCTGAACTGGGATGTTCTATTCAACAGATGTTCCTCGGAGAAGTGGAGGTTTTTCTGGAATAACCGCAGCTTGGAGGATTGGCTGAGCGCCGAACACACAGACAGACGCTGCTGAGTTGTGAAGTGCGTTTCTAACCTCTGACAGATCACTTCATCTGCAGATGAGCCAAGACGCGTTATAATATTAGAATTCTGAACGGAGTGTGGCCTGACGCCCCCAACCACCCCCCACCCCCCGGACTGATAGAGCAGGGATCTCCTAGGAAACGGTTAGTGACACTGCCCCCCCCCGCCTCGTTCTCTCATCAGGGATGGTTGGTACTGAGCTCCGTCGCCTGCTCTCCCACTAACCACCAGTACCAGACTGGGTAATTTCCAGTGAACAGATGTTCTCCAGCAGAATGAGTGTGAACCAGTCCAGCCTGCTGTACGGACAGCTGGAGGAGCTGCAGGAGCTCGCCTTCATCGAGAGGCCGATCCGCAGGAGTCTCAAGGTATTTTTACATCTCAGCCTCTGATGGTCTGAAGACTGACGTGTTGAGACACTGAGTGGGTCATGTGTTGAACAGTTTGAGATGTGTGAGACGTGAAGTGATGATGATGATGATTGAGGTGATAATGTGACATGTTGTATGAGTCAGTGAGAGGAAGATCAGCAGCCTCCATGCAGGAAGCAGAGGGGAGACCCGCTATCTGCGCAGCATGACGCAGTTTCTGTCTGTCTGTCCACCTGTCTGTCTGTCTGTCTGCAGTGAGACAGGTGGACAGACAGACAGGTGGACAGTCTCTTGTGTCTGTCAGGATCTCGTCACCGTAAACATGAACATTATTCTCTAACCGTTACATCAGCATCCACATGTGAGCATATTTCACGTAGGAAGAAGTGCACTGTAAGTAACAGAAGAGACGATAAATAGCCTACTGTAGGTCTATACGAACACACATTAACAAGACTTTTGGCTAATGATCAGTTTTTTGATCAGTAGATGGATCAGTTGGTCCATCAAAACCCTAAATGCCAGAAAATAGTTTAAAAAAATGTCCAAAACCCAAAGACTCTGTTTAACATCATGTCTGAAGAGAAGCAGCAAAGATTGAACAATTTGCTTGACCAATCAATATTTGTTCAATCAATATTTGACCAAATAATATTGAAACCACAAACATTTGGTGCAGATTAAAACAGCTGCAGGTGAATCATTTTCTATTTTGTCTATGACAGTAGATACATGTTGTTGGACAATAACAACATGTGCTTTAAATAACATGTTGTTGGACAGTAGATACATGTTGTTGGACAGTAGATACATGTTGGACAATAGATACATGTTGTTGGACAATAGATACATGTTGTTGGACAGTAGATACATGTTGGACAGTAGATACATGTTGTTGTATAATAGATACATGTTTTTGGACAGTAGGAACATGTTGGACAATAGATACATGTTGTTGGACAGTAGATACATGTTGGACAATAGATACATGTTGTTGGACAATAGATACATGTTGTTGGACAGTAGATACATGTTGGACAGTAGATACATGTTGGAAAATAGATACATGTTGTTGGACAGTAGATACATGTTGTTGGACAGTAGATACATGTTGGACAATAGATACATGTTGTTGGACAGTAGATACATGTTGTTGGACAGTAGATACATGTTGTTGGACAGTAGATACATGTTGGACAATAGATACATGTTTTTGGACAGTAGATACATGTTGTTGGACAGACCTTTTAGATGAAAACATGGTTTCCTCTTCAGTGGAGGAAATTCTGGATGGTCAGTGTCACCTGAACACTGCGTACTGCACTTTGACATCACACCTGTGGGCGGAGCCTGTGTGTTTATGAACGTAGGGAGGGCCAATGGTTTCACAGGAGAGACTCACATGCACTAACATGCACACGTACATGCACTTACATGTACACATATGGCACTAACAAGCACATGCCGCCATCCCAGCTACTAAAACAAAGAACAGAGAAACTCACATCACTGACATCTGACATAACACACAGAGGGGGTGTGGCTTCATTCTCTGCTCGGGACACCATTAGTCCACTGTATCTTTACATAGAGAACAGCTGCTTGCTGCTGTGTTATTGTTTAAAATCTTCTATATATAACCTGTAAGTACAGAACTAAATTAAATGTACAAATGCAAAAAATGTCTGCCATTAATTTCTGATAAATTAACGATACAGGGGTTGTTATTATTATGACTTTCACATAATAACTAACAGACATTTAAATAAAATAAGTGCCTTTAAAAAACATAACACTGAGTTTTTGGAGTTGTTTGTTGTTTCCTGTCAGACGGCGGAGGAGATTGATCAGCTGACTGTGGATGAAGACCTGAATGACATTGAGAGAGCCGTCTACCTGCTCAGGTGAGAGCTGGGGGTCATTTAGAAACAAGTCTACGCTGCGTTACCTGTGGACATGTCAGTGATGTCACATTCTTCAGTGCTTTTGTGATTGTTTTTCTTTTAGTTTTCTGTTTGACCTCAGACTGTGTTGAAACTAGTTTCAGGTTATTAGTCAGGAAACCCTCAGTCAGTTCAGATTCAAGAAGAATCCTCAATAAATAAAAAGAGGCCTCAGGAGGAAAGAAAGAAGAAAGAAGCAGTCCAGTCCTCCACCTGTCCTCCTTCCCCATGACCCAGTAAACTCTGAAGCTAATTGAACAGTGAAGGTAATCATCCTGTAGTCTGATCCCTGGAGATCTGAACTAGTTCACTGAACTCATTCAGTCTGGACTGAAACTTGAAACACAGCTGAAACCTGCAGGACTCAGGGGTACTGGACTGTGGAGGATCAATCAGGATCTGAGCTCTGTAACTGATGTTGTAAATGTTTCTGAAAACAGAGCTTAAACTCAAATATATAAACAACAGCTGGACAGAAACCACAGGAGACCTACACAGACTGTTTTTATGGAGGGTTCTGGACTCTACTGATTCAGATTCAGGTTCTAAGATTTATTTAGGCTACGTCCGCACGACTATGTTTTCATTTTAAAACGAAAAAGATCTCCATCCAGACTATCACACCTGAAAACACACATAGCTGAGCAGTCACCTACACTGAGCATGTGCGAGCAGGTGTAAACAGGAAGTAGCTTGTCTCCTCTGCAGTAAATCCTCTGAAGGAGGAACAGCAAAGACAGTTGTAGCATTAAAACAGAGAATGTAAGTGAACAACAGCTGCTAGCAAAGACAACAAGGTCAGTAACACTGTCATTCATTATCATGTTGTATTCACCACTGGTAGTCCAGGCTGATGAGAGCCAATCAGGAGAAACCGTGGCTGTGACCTCATTGTTTACAAAGGTCTCAGTTTCTGTCCAGACTACAACACAACCCCAGAGTTTTCAAAATAAAATACAATCCCAGAGTTTTCGAAATAAAACAGGTCAAGCAACGTTTCCAAAAGTCTCCGTTTATGTGGCTCGAAAACTCAGAAGTCGTGTGACGGGAGGTGAAAACGTAGCAAAAGAGATGCTTTTTTAAAAATGAAAACGAAGTTGTGTGGAGACGGCCTTATAGTCCCTCAGAGTTCCTCTGTGTTTTCCTTCATGTTTTTGTATTTCCTCTCCTCGTCAGTGTGGGTCAGGAGGTGCAGAGAGCAAGCGTCATAAGTAACCTGCCGAGTCTCGTTCGTCAGAATCCGGCTGAGACTTTTCGTCGGGTCGTACCAAAAGTCCGGGTATGTAACAGTCAGACTGTATGTGTGTGTGCAGGTAGACGAAGGCAGGATGAGAGTCAGACAGTCATTCTGGGAAATTACAGGTGTGTCACACAGGTATAACCTGTCCTGTCTGTGTGATTTAGGAGGCCCTGAACGGATGCGGAGCTGAAATCCAGCTGGCAGCAGCAGCATCGTTTCTAACTATCCTACAGGACGACATCATCCTGATCCACACCCACACGTACTCCATCCTGAAGACAGTCCTACTGCACCTGAACCACAGAGACACAGGTAACACACCTGAACCACTGAGATCATGATTATGAGCTACAGTTTAGAATCAATGGGTTTGAAATCCAGCTGTGGTTAACTGGACCTGATCTGTTAAAACACTGGATTACCAGTTCAGATTACCTCAAGTTACCTGAGCATCCACCATCACAGGTGGAACACCAGACTGGTCCGTGGCCTGTAGTTACTTAGTTTAACCTGGAGACATTTTGAATCACCAAAAACCACCAAAATGTGGACCTGTGGAGGTCCAGACTAGACCAGTTCAGTTCAAGTGAAATCTTCTGAGGACCCAGTTTCAGAGACCAACTCATGTTAAGACTGATCAGGTTTTTCTGGTGTTGACGTCGATGTTGACTTTGATGACGACAATGACGATGAAGTTGACGATGACACTGACAATGACGATGAAGTTGACGATCACGATGACAATGGCATTGACAATGACGATGATGATGACGATGACAATGACGTTGACGTTGACGATGATGACAATGACGATGACAATGGCATTGACGATGACGTTGACGTTGACGATGACGATGATGATGACGTTGACGTTGACGTTGACGATGACGATGACGATGACGATGATGATGACGTTGACGTTGATGTTGACGATGACGATGACGATGATGATGACATTGACGATGATGTGTTTGTTGTTGTCAGTTGTGAGCAACGCCTGGTTGGAGACTCTGCTGTCGGCCATCAACGCTTTACCCAAGGAGACCATCAAACAGGAGGTACAGTAATCAGGGATCTCTACCTGTCTCACTCTGTACCTGATTCTCTCTGTACCCGTCTCTCTCTCTGTACCTGTGTGTCTCTTTACCTGTCTCTGTCTGTACCTGTCTGTCTCTGCAGGTGCTGAACCCTCTCCTGTATCAGTCTCAGCTGTCTCACTCTCTTCAGGCTCGTCTGGCCAGCTGTCGAATTTTGGGAAAAGTGGCCTGCAAGTTTGATTCCCACATGTGAGCTTTCTAATTGATTATTGATCAGATGATGAAATCTGATGGTGTGTGTTGATGTTGCTACACCTGGTGTGACACTGACAGGTGTGTTCTCTGTATATCAGAGTGAAGATGGAGCTGCTGCCATTGGCTCGGTCTTTATGTCAGGATGTTGAGTTTGAGGTCCGAGCCTGTATGTGCCGTCAGCTGGAGAGCATCGCCAGAGCGACTGGGTAAACCTCACCATACACCAAGCAAACACCTACCAATCACCAACCAGCCTTAAAGACTCTTTGTGTTTGGACTTTTCAAATTAGTTTGGTCATTGTCATTTCATGTTTTATTTTGAAGTAGCTTTCTTTGTGTGTCTCTTGTTGTTTTTACTTCCTGTCTTTGTCCTGTTTCCCTCCAGTTTGATGACAGTCCTAATGTGTTTCATCTGTGTTCAATTACCCTTGCCTCCCTTGTGTCTATTTAGTCTCTGTGCTCCACTTTGTTTTTGTCAGTTTGTCCTGTTCTCCTGAGTTGTAGTCCTGTTTCGCTTCAGTGTTCCCGTTTTTTGTTCTCTGGTGTTTTCTTTTGTTCTTGGATTTTCTGTTTTTTTGTTCCTGGCTGGTGTATTTTGGATTTGTTGTGTTTTTCATTCACTTAATAAATCACTGATTTCACCTACTCTTGGATGGTCTGCATTTGGGTCCCTTATAACTACAAAACCTGACAACACCAACTAAACGCCAAACACAAACACCAAGCAAACGCCCTGCTGAGGTGAGGCAGTGTGTCTCTTGTCTGTCCTTCAGGGTGGACGACACCAGGATGGAGCTGCTTCCTGAACTGGTGGAGCTCGCTGGAGATGAGGAAAGCAGCGTCCGCCTCGCTGCCTTTGACACCATCATCAACCTGATGGAGATGATTGACAGTGGTGAGTCATTAGGTTACAACAGGTGGAGCTGAGAAGCTGTCTGCAAAGTTTAAAGCCCCCTCCTTTTCAGAAACACCACATTTACAGCCCCTTACTCTTTATGAAGATTCTCAGTCATCCAGGTCATGGTTATCTGAGACAAGTTAAATCAAAGGCAACTGGACTTGGTTGTAGATACTTAAAGACATTTCACCTCATCCAAGAGGCTTCTTCAGTTGTGGCTGACCGGTGAGGAGACCCAGGTATTTCAACTCTGTAGGGTCGTTATGAGGACCATTGATGTCACAACATGAGTGACATCAGCCTCTTGGATGAGAGGTGAAAATGTCTTCAAGTAGCTACAACCAAGTCCAGTTGCCCTTGATTCAAATTTCCTTGGTCCCCCTCCTCTCCACAAACACCATGATTAAAGCCCCCTCCTCTTTCAGATGACAGACTCCATGTAGTGGTTCCTCTGGTGATGTCCGTGTGCGAGGCATCATCGCAGGCGGATGAAGCTGTCGTGGCGTCTTTGTCGTTCCAGTTTGGGAGGCTCTGCAGTGGACTGACAGGTGAGACTCAACACTGACATCACACAGTAGAGACTGCTGAAGCTTAAGTGGAATAAGTCCAGAGTATCCACCATATGAAGTTCAGTGAAGGCTGGCAGATATGAGACGGAGGTGGTGAATTAAAATTTTGTTCATAAATCGGTAATGCTGGAGGAAGGGGTAAGTTTCTGGTAGGATCACCCAAGGCAAACTGGTCCCAGATGAGAGGACAAATTTAGTGAGACTAACTATGAACAGTGACTTCAGGAAAGAGTTACCTTGCCTGGAATAAGCAGACCTTGGGCCTTTCCTGGGCCTGATCTGATCAGCTGAAGGGGTGACATGGGGCAACTGCCCTGCAGGTCCACTACCTGGAAGGCTAGATGTAAGGGTCAAGTTGCCAAGCAACGCCATTGGCCCTAGTGTGCTAACCACAAACTTAGTAAACTAGTCCTAGGGGTGTGAATTGTCACTTCTCTGGTGGGAATGGAGCCAGAGTTGAAGTCGAAAATGAGGCAATACCAACTAAATGTAGTTGGGCTCAAGTCTGTGCAATCACCAACTCTTGCCCAGGGTGAAAAGCACCCTGTTGTGTTGGAGTTTTCCCCTGAGAACAAGAGGGTCTGTGTTTCCAACATTCAGTCCAACATCTTGTTGGCAGGTGTTGGACTCCATCAGGTTTGTTCCTGTCACAGATTTAGTTTGTGGTTTTCAGGAACAGGATCTGAAAGTGTGGTCAAGCTGTGGAGTGACGGTATGGGGACTTAAGGACTGATGAGTCGTGATGTTTCTGAGGAGTCATTGTGTTTCAGGGTCTCTGTCAGATGAGCAGAGGGGCCGGTTGCTGCAGAGGTTTAAGGTGCTGTGTGTCGCCGGTCTACAGACTGAAGGAAACCAGATTGACATCAACAACGAGTCTAAGTTGATCCGCTGCAACTGCTGCTACAACCTACCGGTAAATTCCCCACACACTCAGCGGAGCTTCAGACTTCAGTTCAACCTTCAGTCTTTCAGATGGTAGATATCACTCTTTACTTTCTCTCTGCAGGCCATGGTGGTGTTTGCTGACTCCACCCACTTCCTGTCAGAGCTCTACCCATCGTTCTCCAGTCTTTGTTGTGACCCAGAAGTCAGTGTTCGACGAAGTGCTGCAGCCAGTTTCCACCAGGTCAGATTAGATAGATAGATAGATAGATAGATAGATAGATAGATAGATAGATAGATAGATAGATAGATAGATAGATAGATAGATAGATAGATACTTTATTTATTCCCTAGGGGAAATTCATGTGTCCATTAGCTCATTGTTGATAATAATAATAATAATAACAGTTGATAATAAATAAACAATAATGATTGGATTAATCCACTTCCTTTGGCTGAGGTGTTGTACAGCCTGATGGCAGTGGGAACAAAAGATCTCCTGAACCTCTCTGTTCTGCAGTGAGATGAGACGTTTGCTGCAGCTGCAGCTGCTTCTCTGTCCTGCCAGAATGTTGTGGAGAGGATGTTGGTATTGTCCAAGATGGCCTCCATCTTACATTGCATGTGTCTCTCCACAACAGTCCTGAGTGAGTCCAGACTCCTGCAGCACAGACCCAGCCTTTTTTACCAGCTTGTCCAGTCTCTTTGTGTTTGTGTCTGACATGCTGCTGCCCCAGCAGACTGCAGCATTAAAGAGTCCACTGGCCACCACTGACTGATAAAACGTGCAGCATTTCACTGCAGATGTCAAAGGACCTGAGCCTCCTGAGGAAAAAGAGCCGGCTCCGCCCCGTCAGGTAGATGGCATCCGTGTTCAGGGACCAGTCCAGTTTACTGTCCAGGTGCATACCTAGGTATTTATAAGTGTGCACCACCTCAATGTCCTTCCCTCAAATGTTGACTGGCTGAAGGGCCTAGACCTCTGAAAGTCAATGACCATCTCCTTGGTCTTGGAGGTGTTCAGAAGGAGGCAGTTCTTGTCGCTCCATTCACTGAAGGTCATCGTCAGATCCCTGTACTCCTCTTCCTGCCCGTTCCTCGTCCGCGCCACAATAGTTGTGTCATCTGAGTATTTCTGGATGTGGCAGGACTCAGAGTTGTATTTAAAGTCGGCCGTATACAGGGTGAACATGAACAGAGCCAGAACAGTCCCCTGTGGAGCCCCGGTGCTACTCATCACTGTCTCTGAGACACAGTTACCCAGCCTGACGTACTTTGGTCGTCTTGTCAGGTAATCCACAATCCAGGATGTGAAGCAGGGCTCCGCCCCCATCCCTTCCAGCTTGTCTTTAAAAGTGGGGGGTTGGATGGTGTTAAATGCACCTGAGAAATCAAAGAACATAATCCTCATGTAACTACCTGGCTCATCCAAGTAAGAATGGGCCTAGTGGAACATGTAAAGGACGGCACCATCCAATCCAATATGTTCTTTGTAGGTGAACTGTAGGGGGTCTAGTGCTGTTCAACCTGTGGCCTCAGAAGGTGGAGAAGCAGCTGCTCCAGGGTCTTCATGATGTGTGATGTGAAGGCCACCGGTCTGTAGTCATTTATCTCAGCTGGTCGTGCTACTTTATGTATTGGAACAAGACATGATGTTTTCCACAGGACCAGGATCCTCCCGGTTTGAAGGCTTAAGTTAAAGATCCTCTGGAGAGGCTCAGCCAGCTGGGCTGTACAGGCCTGTTGCCTTTCCAGGACGTATCCTCTTGAGCTCCACCCTCACCTCCTCCACTGTAAAGGACAGGAGACTTGACCCCAGTGTGGAGGGAGGTGCAGCTGTAGTGTCAGGTTGTGGAGAAGATACCGTAGGAGAAGCTGCAGCTGAAGCAGTGGGAGAGAGAACAGTGTCAAACCTGCTGTAGAACAGGTTGAACTCATTGGCCTTGTCCACATCACCTCATGTTGCACACACCTGAGCTTCTCCTTGTCTTCATCCCCGAAGGCCTCCTTTTTTATGATTGATATACATGAACAAATAACATCATGATGTTTCATCTGTTGTGAGTGTGAACAGTAGTGAAGTTTGTCCTGAGGGTGGCACTACTGAAAAGATCATGGAGTGGTTTAAATCTAAAGGGTTCATCCTCTGAGGAGCAGGAAGAAAGTTAGGACACTGATGACCAGTACCAGTTGAGTGATCATGAACATCACCCGCCTTAGGTTCTGCATGGTTACAAAAGGCAAGAGTTAAGAGATGAAAGAAGGAAGTGTTCAATGTTTGAAAGTTTCTTCTGCTAATAGTTTGTAAAACTGTTTCCCCTCTTTCTGTTGGCCCACCACAACTGTCAGGTGGTGAAGCTGCTCGGTTCAAACGTCCAGGTGGTCCACAAAGAGCTTCTGGTCCTACTGCAGGACGACGCTCTGGAGGTGAGAGTCCCCGCTCAGTCCACATTGTTAGCATGTTTCTTTAGAAACTCTTCACTGAAGTCACAGCAATGAGTGTGTGTTTGTCATCACAACATCGCCGTGTCGAAGTTGTTTCCATGTGTGTTGCTGTATTTATGTGAGGTCTAGTTTTTGTCTTTGGACTGAGTTGTAGCTATGAAGCAGATAAATCATGTTTGTGCAAATGTTACCACACAGTGTGCCAAACATTTAACAACAGCCCAGACCAAACACATCTACACTTTCTTCAGAACATGTAGTTTCTTCAACTCAAATGTTAGTGTTATCTGTATTGAAGCCTCTGCTGTTGTTGTTGAGGTGCTGGATGCACTGATGAATCACCTGGAAGAAACTCTGGAGGCAGTTCTGTCCAGAGGAGAGAACCTGACACTGGACAACAAGGTAGGAAAACAAACCTCTGACTTTAAACTAGTTCTGAGTTCAGCCTGGGTTTTTCTTTCTTTTCCTGTTTCTTCTATAATCCTGGTTCCTCTGTTCTTCCACGTTCTCCCGTGGTCCCTATTTGCGCCTCATCAGTTCCCGGAACTGCTGACAGCCCTGTTGTTGGCAGAGCAGAAGGTTGGTTCTTCTCTGCGTTGGCGGCTGCATGAAAAGCTGCTGCAGCGTTACAGCTGCCTGGCCAGACTGCTGCCTGGAGAACTGCTGCACCAGAGCTTCTCCCCTCGCATCTTCATCATCCTCACCACCAATGTCAGTACTACTAGATGCCACAAGACGTGACATAATTCAACAGGTAAACAGCTGAACAGACAAGTAATCTCCTCTGGTAACTGTGGTTGCAGAAGGTGTTGCCTGTGCAGAAGGAGGCAGCTCGGACGTTTTGCATATTTCTCCGCTACAATCGGAAACAGGAGCAGCGCCAGGAGATGATGGAGCGACTGATCCAAGGTCAGAACACCATGGTCCTATAGTCTCAGGTGCTTTGAGTACGTCACCTCAGTAATTTGTTTTAAAAAGCTTTTTTTAAAAATCTATCACAACCTCTGTAAAGATCATAAAGGACTGTCATTTGACAAATGTTGAGCAAATTGTGAGGCCACATTAGAAGCTTTGCGTTCATGTTGGTCTGTCTCTGATCCTCAGATCTGGCCCAGGGTCGGAGCTACTGGAACCGTCTGAGGTTCCTTGATGTTTGTGAAATGGCCTCTGAGATTTTCTCCAGAAAATACTTCAACAAACACTTCCTGAGTCCGGCACTGGAGCTGGTCCACGACCCCGTCGCCAACGTGAGGTAGTTCTGTCAGAACGCTGTCCAATGAGGCAGGTCAAATCTGTCTTTCTGACATCAAATGTGACACACTGGTCTGCCTGTTCACATGTCTACCTGTCAGGTACAAGCTGTGCCAGTTGTTGCCCAGGTTACGTTCGTCGCTCCGTCTGCCAGCTGATAAACAACTGCTGCAGCAACTCGACTTCTGCGTCCAGAAACTTTTATGCAGAGAGAAAGACAAGGACGTGGTGGCAACCATTCGCAAGGTAACATCCACACTGCCTGTGACCAATCCAGACCTCTGTCAGACGATTCTGTAGACTTGAGATGAATCCAATCCACGGAGACCAGAGTTTGCTTTTTAGCCTTGATAGGTGTAGATGATTCACTGTGTTCATCATGTTTTCCAGACAGTGTTGGAACTGGACAAACTGGACCTCACAGAACCTGTAAGAAGCCTGTTTTTAAGACCTGGACTGTAGAATAAATAACAGCTGAATGTTTTGTTTCTGTTCCGCTCTACATCTGGTCTCTGGTCTCTTGTTGTCAGTTTCATAAGAGGCAGGAGAGGGATTTACTGGACCAGAAAAAGGAGAAGGAGGAGACTCTGCTGCTGGAGATGGTGAGTCTGAACCTGACAGCTCGTCTACCGTCTAAATCACTTCCTGTTACGTTGTAATGACATTTCCTCTGTCGTCAGGAACAGCTGGAGCGACAGCAGAGCGAAGGGAAACTCAACTCTGAAAAACATACAGAGAGAAAACGTGAGCACAACTGTCCTTTTACTTTTGAATGAGTCGGAGGGGGAAGATCTGACTGTTTGGTCTGTAGTCCCGTCTGTGAACCATCTCTCTTTGACAGGAAGGGAAAGCAAGACCATTCTCTCTGCAACCAAATCCATGTCCGTGTCCTCATCTGGAGCTGCCTTGTCCTCTGGTAAGACAGAAATATGACAACTGATAAAATGTTTTATCTTTGAACTTCCAACACAATCTTGTTTTTTAGTCTTGACAGACGTCTTCTCAACGTACCTGTCATTAATGATGGTAGATGTACAGATTTTTATCACCAGCATTAGTTTGGTGGATGGTTTATGATGAGTTCTAATTATCTTTACAGTCCCGGCGGTTGGTACATACCGGACTGTGGTGGATGTTTTCAGGCCCATGTAAACAGTGTTAAGAACATGGAGGTGTATCAGAAAATTATGATGATGTTTCTTCTTCTTACAGGTAAGGAGATGAGGAAGGCTAAACTGTCACGGAGTCGATCCCTCAGCAGTCAGCCAACAACATCTAAAACCGCCAACTCAGACAGACCTGTGTAAGACCCACCAGAACTCCTTCACTTTCAGTTTAACTTTCTTAGGGTCTCTTCTTGGGGGTAAATGGACCATGAGATAGATCAGCACTGTACTGGACTGTTGTGGTTCAGAGGGAGCTGATCCTGAAGTGGATCTGTTTCAGTCCTCAGCTGTGGTCCTGGTCTCTGGGTTAAGACTGAAAGAATGACATGGTGGATCCATGATTGCCCATGGCAGGGGGTCTGCACTCAGATCCAGGAGGAGAACCACTGCTCCTTCATATTGAAAGGGGTCAGCAGACATGGTTCAACATCTGATCAGGATCGTCCAGGGAGAACTTTTCTTTAACAGTTGAACAGAAACTGTATTTTCTTTGTTGTCTCTTTCTGGAGCTCCTTCACTTCCTGCTTGATGATGTTGTTCTTTGCCGTTGTGGTCTTCATGACTTTGTCAAAGTCAGACATCTTGTCCCTCTTCGGTCTTGCCCTGATCTTGTTGACTTGTACCTTCTCCCAGATCCTCCTAAGAAACGTCAGGCACTGTGAGAGTCTTTGAGGACTAACCTCTTGACCCCTGTACAGGAACAATCAATAAAAGTCCAGTTTTGGTCGATCACACCTGTAACAACACCAGTCAGAAAATGTGGGTCAGAAACAGGCGTAGGAATCACAACCCAGGAAAAAGGACGTTACAATCTCTGGTGGACATCTAGTTTTCACTTGGTGCAGTGAGGTAGACCTGGACTCAGGGTATGGTCAGTGCACTCTGACCTCTGACATCACTGGTGGGTGGGGTTACTTGTGCTTAAAGTCACTGTAGAGTTTTATCTGTTGGTTTTTAAATGTGGACCGGAACAAGGTTCAAGGTTCTAAATGTTCTGTTTTCTGGCTCTGTGATTCAGGAAGGTTAAGGAGCTGAGTGGTACATCTGGATCTGGGAAGTCCTCCATGATTCAGAGCAAAGGTACCACATCTTTACACACACCATATCATTAACCCTGATCAGGATCAGTTGTTAGGACTGCAGGACACAGTCAGGATGATTCATGGTCATTATTCTTACATCACTTCTGGTGTTTTATAGATGACTCCTTGAGGACTGTCCACTTCACCATGGCAACTCAGTCCACCTCCTCCATGCCAGTCCTGATCCGCAGCAACACCACCAGCCTCCTGGACAGGGCTAGTACGCTGGACCACAGAACTAGTTCCATGGACCACAGGGCCAGTTCCATAGAGCAGAGAGACCATAGAACTGGCACACTGGACCATAGAACCAGTAACATGGACCACAGGAACAATATGGTGGACCATAGAACTGCTACAATGGACCACAGGACCAATACCTTGGACCAGAGAGACCACAGAAGCAGTACCTTGGACCATAGGACCAGTACCATTGACCAGAGAGACCATAGAACCAGTACCTTAGACCAGAGAGACCATAGAATCAGTACTGTGGACCAGAGAGACCATAGGACCAGTACTTTGAATCAGAGAGATCATAGGAGCAGTACCTTGGACCAGCGCAGTAAAACAATGGACCGGGGATGTGGAGTCAAGGAGAGCCAGTCCAGAAAGCTGTCAATGTGAGTTCTAGCTAAAACATTCACATTCTGGTGGTAGAACTCTTTGAATTGATGGTTCCACATGTTTTGATTTTTTTTTTTTACAGTTTATCACCCAAAAACTCTTTAGACAAGGTTCCAAACCAGGTTCTCTCTTACTGAACCAATTACATGTTTGTGTGCCCCTCCCCTCAAGACAAGGTCACCTGAGGTAACCTGGTTTTAGCCCTGGTCTAATCCCATATAGTCTTGTTATTTACACTGACTCAGACCCTTATATCCAGAGCATGTTTATCCCAGACTTAATCCATGTTTAAATTTGGGCTGTCTTAATCCCGGTTTTGTTTTAGCCCCACTGTTCACCTGGTTTTAGCCTTAGATTCCACTTGTTTAATCCAGTTTTGACCCTGATTTAACCTGAGCTTTAACCTGATCTGATTAGCTAGCTTGGTCCTGGTTTAGCCTGTTCAAACCTTGGAATATCCCTATTTAGCTGTTGTTGTATTGTATGTCTTAACCCTAGATTAACCCAGTTAAATCCATATTTTACCTGGATTTTATCCTGGTTCAGTTTATTGCTGCTTCATGGCTGACTTAGCCCAGGTGTAGCCCTCTCTAAACCTTTGTTATTGTCTTGTTAGTACTCATTTTTCTTCGGTCTTTGTTCCTACTTTAGCCCTGATTTTCTTCTTATTGTTGAGCTCTGACTTTATTCTGGTTTATTCTGGATTTTATCTTAGTTTAGTCCAGGGGTCGGTTACCCGTCGCTCTTTAGTCCCTCCTCCTGGCTCCCTAGCTTTGTCACACTTTTTACATCTCGTTATCATTGTCCTGAAATCATCCGTACCCAATTATGAAAACATGTAGCCTGTACAACAAATTAAAAAAAGGATTTAGAACTTCGTTAGATACACGTCATGCTACATCACAGCGCTGGTGTCTGGGTGTTTTCCTCAGATAGATGTGGATTCAAAATCCAAAGAAAGAAGTGTCAGAGCAAAATTTTAATAGTGTGGACAGGTGTGTTTGTGTTCACCACCTCTGCTTAATGTTTATTCTGAAGTTAATAAACAAGATAACATGTGACGGTGAAGAAGGACCAGAGTAAAGGTAGTTTGTCAACTGTTTATTTCTTGTAGTTCTATAATTTCATTAATGTACAGAAGTGTTAAAGTGCCAAATGATCATAACCAGCCACAGCAGACGACTTATAAAACATGTTCATTTAGACCAATACCTTAAAGGGCTTATCTTTAAGTTTCTGGAGATTGAACTTTGTGTTTACAGTTTTAAATTATTAATGTGCTGTTTTTTTTCCAACAGAAACAGGAAGTCGAACTCTTTCAGTGTCCAGTCGGGTCGAGACTGAAGATGATGTCAGCATACCTCCAACAGGCCATTAGCCAATCAGCAGTCAGGGAGCACTTTCAGGACATTACCCAGAATGCAACAGGACATCATCTCTGTCTGACAGTGACGAACAGAGACAGTAGAGCCTAACCTCTATTTGTATCTACTGAGCACTGTGTATTCTAATGATCTCATCCTGTCACCTGATTGGTTCAGTAAATTCCACACATTTAAACTGTGTCTGTGTTCTTATTGGTCGGTGGTTTCAACTGCTAATGTGTGACTGGTTGGATGATCGCTGACATCACAGGAAAGGTGTTACATTCTGTTGGACCAGGTCTAATAACATCTGATCATCTAGTTGTCACGACCAGGCAAGGACTCAGGACACAGATGCAGGGTTCAATAGACAGTCTTTATTGTTTTCTTCAGGGCGCCTCCAAGTGGAGAAATAAATAGGCTATCAAACCTAATTCTCACTATATCAGAGGCTATAAAAAATATCAAAATAATCACTCCGCTAAGGAGGAAAAACACAATGGATTATTAAACTACTATCTGTAAAATAAAAACTCCAGCAAACTGGAGGCTCTACTCTACAAAAAGTAAGTAAACAAAACATCACCCCACATGGAGGAAACAAAAGGCTATGCAAACTTAAACTATGACACAAAACTAGGAAATAAACTTACAACTCAAAATCTCTCACTTGGAGGAAGAAGAACGCAAGACTTTAAGGAACGCTGTGACGAAGAGCTGGGGTGCACGCACGCAGACGAAACACACTGGCACAAGACAAAGGGAGACTATTTAAACACTGGGCAAGGGGAACAGGTGAAAACACTCAGGGCAATCAGACTGAGACACATGAGGAAGGGCAAGTGATCTGAAACGAGAGGAGAGTTACTTTTCAAAATAAAACAGGAAATGACAGGACAAAACAAAACCAGGACAAGACAACCTCACCACGGTGTGACACTAGTCATCATCACAGAGTCTCCACGGTAACCTGCACCTGTTCACCACCAGAGATCCAACAGTCTGTTCAGTGTCCTTCAGTCTGTCCGACTGTCAGGCTGAAACATCTGTACAGATGTGATGATCCTGTTAACTGATTTTCTAATACATTCACGGAAGAGTTTTTAATAAGACTGAACCAATCAGCTCTCAGATCAGTCACAGCCAGGTTTTTTCCAGCATGCACTGAGCTGAGTACCTAACCCTGCAGCTGTGCCGATGCCATGAGGTTAAGGCTACTGATGTCAGCCTGACATCACAGCAGGTCATGATTGCATCCGACAGAAATATACTAGCATACAGTCATTGAACGATCGATTGGTTCTGGAGTCCATCATTCCTGCACATGATTCAGATCATCTTAACAGGAACTGGTGCAGTGCTCTGTCTATTGTTTGGGCAGGAATATGTGATGTCACAGTGAGGTTTGATGACATCATGAGTGATGTTGGTGAACACGAGCCACAAAACGCTACAGGAGAATGTTTTTAAATATTTAATGTTGTACAGGTGGTTAATAACAGTCATCAACTATGAATAGAACATGTGGTATGGTATGATAGTTGCTGTCATGCTGTCATGCTAACATGCTGATTAGCTGTAAACACAGTCCAGCTGAGGTGGATGGGATGTCACCACACCGGTCAGTCATCCAGGACTCATCAACACTGTTAACTACCAGGTTACGACAGGGAGGACTAGTCCCAGGTTGTAGTTACTCCAACATGGTGACTTTAAGTTCAGGGCTGTGGCGCAGATGTCACACAGATTAATATTCTGTTTGACTCCTCCTCCCTGTACAGGGCAGTGTGCTGCGTTCAGTCACTGGATGACTCGGCATCAAACATAAATCACAGATCCTCAGTGAGAGGGTGAAGGGAACGTTACAATCGATGTTGAAAACAAAGCAGCGTCAGCGTGTGATCTCATCACTGGTCACATGACAACAACCAGATATTGATTTTTTATCTTTAAGTTTATTCTTGACATTGAACTACATACTAACATCAGCTGATGTTTAGCAGGTATGTTTACTATGCTAATTAGCAGTAAACAAAGCGTCCAGCTGAGGCTGATGGGAATGTCATTACATGTTGTTTGGTCATGAACCAGGTAAGTGAAAAAATCAAAATGTTGACCTGATGATGGCTCTAGAGGAAAAGTCAGATCAGTAATTTCAGTTTAATCGTCAGGGCCGTTCAGATTGATCTTGCGACCCCTCAGGGAGTCCGGACCCTCAGGCTGGAAAACACAGTAAACACTACAGACTGAGACATGAGTCTACTGACAGTAGAATAACATTAGAACATTGTACACCTGCTACATCCTCATTTTAAACTGTTAACGTAAAGTTTGATAGGTGTGACTCAGGTGGACGTGGCTAAGCAACCTCTCAGGTAACCTAGTTGTTATTATTTCTTGGTGGGGTCGACCACTCGGCCCATGAACAGCAGGTTGCCAGTGGTCGGCTGGTAGATGATGAAGATGAAGGGTCTGTTGATGGTGAGTCGAGGAGGAAGAGCAGAGAACACGCTGACTCCGCCCCCTTCAGGGATGTTATCACTGCGCTCGTCAACTGAGACGATGGATTTATGGAAAACCTGGAAACAGTAAAACAAACAGGTAAATAATATAAATAAATAAAGTTTAGGGACAGAGCTTTTCACAATAAAATACATAGAAATCTGATCAAACTAGATCCTAGTTCAGACTCATTCTCAAACGTTAAAGCAGCACAGACACGGACTGCAGACAAAACTCACCTCTGTGAGTCTGGGTCCTTTAGCCCCACCCATGTTGGTGGTGTCAGCGTCGTCCTGAAACACCTGAGTGATGTCAAGAGTCTGCAGGACGTCCTTCAGAGAATAGGAACGCTCCAACATGAAGCGAGGGAGCTGCACCTCCAACTTCCTGTTAATAAAATAAAACAAGTTTTATCTCTGAGGGTGAGGACGACAGAAACTATTCAGATGTAGTAGGTCCCTGAAGACTTTATTTCTATTGTATAATAATAATAATATGTAATAAATAGGACGTCCATCTATTCATGTTAATATCAAACAGTTTGCACACGACTCTGTCATTTATGTTGATGTGGGGGTAAAGAAAGACTAAAGGATGGGGGGGTGTCTCACGTCTTCTTCAGCTGTTTGATCCAGGCCTGAATCTTCTCGGCTGTTATTTCACCTTCGACTGTGTTGATGTCCACGTCTTCATCAGGCAGCACCACTAACATCGCCGCTCCGTCCGTCATCGGCAGCTTCAACACGCCGACCTTCACCAAGCGGTCGTATGCCAGGAAGTACTTATCGGCCCTAAACATCATGGTAACCATGACGACGTGATACTTGTCCACGTAGAAACGCTCGTCCTGAGAGAGGGATGCGTTAAAGTACGGAGTGAACTGGGCTGAAAGACAAAAAGAACTTTATTTATACAGACAGACAAATATTATTTATATCAAATAACAGAGATGAGTTAGAAGACTGAACCATCGACCATGAGCTCTCTGACAGGGACAGAGGCGGAACTGGTGCAGAAGGTTGAGGGGGGCTCATTAGATAAAAGACAAGTGACAAAACAAACACCATCATACAGATCCTCCAGACCCAGGTCTCTGGACTTAGTGGAGGATCACCATATTCCCTCATGTGATGATGATGATGATGCAGAGCGCTGTCTAACCAACATCTCCCATGGTTCAACTGGATTGAGATCTGGAGACTTGTGAAGGTCACATGACTCACATCATCTATATCAGAGCATCAGTGGCCCGTGAACTTTGACGTGTGGACTGAGACACTGTCGTCCTGTTTCTCCTTTAGTTTGTCACCATCTGCAGTCTGGAACTAAACGTCTGAAGAGGGACTGGATTCTTTCCTGTCTGGAGTTTCCCACCAGGCACCAGGAGGAGACAGTGAACTCATGAACTCATGAACTCATGAACACGTGAGACTGAGAGGAACAACTGGAGAACACCTGGCTGAGGAGAGTCTGTGCGGACGGAGGATGAGTCTCTGGGTCATGAAGTAAAAACTTTTGTTTTTGTTAAATACATTTTTAATAATAAAAAGAACAAGTCTCTAACTGAGGGTGAAACTAATCTGGTTCTGGTCTCAGCAGAGACTCAGGCAGTGCCGGAAATGAACAGGGGCAAAGGTCAAAAACTACCCCAAGATCTAACATCTGATGATCTTACATCATCATTTCAATTTCATTCCTTTTTATTTTCATTTCTTTTTCTAACACAAACAGTGCCATTGCTCACACTCTGTACGTCTGTAACCATGACAACACACTACCTTGTCACACTGTTACAATACCTGTCAGAGACCAGGTCATCTGGACTACAGGCCCATCACTGTCACCGGGCATCATTGATTTGTTCATGGTAAGTAACATCAGTGCTAATGCTACTGTTAGCCATAGCTAACAGTGTTAGCATGTTGGCAGTAAATGTTAGCTAGCTAACGTTACTGTAGTCTCACACAGTCAGACCCATGTCATTTCATCCATGCTCTAAACGTCAGCAGAAACTGGATCATTTGAAGGAATGTGATGCAGTTTTCTATATAAAAGGATTATACACAACCTGCCCCATTGTAACTCCGCCCCCTGACAGGAAGCAGGTGATACATACTCTGGTATGAGGCAGCAGTGGCAAGCAGCAGCTGGGTCTGGGGGTCCAGGTTGGTCACCAGCTCCCGGACCTGATCACTGGTCTGCTGCTGGACCCAGCGGTTGATGATGTCGACAGCTTCCTGTGGTGCTGTGTAGACCAGATTCTCAGCATGTCCCCCAAACTTTGTCTGAACCAGGTCCAGGTAGGAGGGGGACAACTGGAAGCCCTGGGCGGGGAGGATGGCCACGCCCTGCTGCAGGTTCCCGCCCCCCTGCAGGACGATGGTCCTCAGAGTCTGAAACAAATCTGAGAACACCAGAGAAAGATTCAAACCTCAAAGTCTAAAACTAAAACAGTATCTGAAGTCCACCTCTGAACCTTGATCTCAGACGCTACCTGGTAGAGTTTGTGGGTCCAGTCCAGTCAGGGTAAGTCCTTGAAGCAGCTGGTCCTGGGTCGGCCCGTTGCTGGCACTCAGCAGCGCCATCAGTCCGGCGGACAGCGTGAACGGAGACAGGAAGACGTTCTCGTCAGTCCGACTAGCGACCACTCGATACAACCGGGTGGCGAAGTCTGAGTTCCTATTGGTCAAATCCTCCACAGAGGGGTTGACGGTCTGAGAGGAGGCTGGACTCAGGAAGAGGAGGAGGACCAATGGGAGGGGGGCGGAGAGATTCATGGTCACAGTGCCCTCTGGTGGAGGAGACGGGAAAAAAATCTGTCACATTTACAGGAAACTGGGGGAGTAGACCGCAACCAGAAACATCTGCAGTCCCAGAACCAGGTTCATGACTGAGATGTATTAGAGCTAAAGCAGCTGTTACTGATCAATAATATCAGCCATCAGCTCAGAGCAGGAGCAAGGCCCTCTGTTATCTAATGACGTCACTCAGGTCTGCTTTATTTATTTTCTATGATTAGTTTTAGTTTTTAACTATTGTGTCAAAGTGTGTGCGTGCGTGGGCTTTTAATTTGAAAGGATTTTTTTTCCTGTTTGGACAACATTCCTGATCAGTCCAGATCAATAGGAAATATTATCTATTGATCAGTTCGCTGCTGCCGTCAGGAGTGACTCCATCACTTCGATCTGATCGCTCAGTATCGGTGATATATTGATGATATAATCTACTGATAAACAGCTGCAGCCCGTCAGTCCGCTGCTGTAAACAACAAACAACCGGAAACAAACAAACACACGTCATCACATGTTATCACACTGACCTTCACTTTCCTCTGTTGATCTTCGATATTTGACTTTTGATCAGACGTCTTTCTGCTCTGAAGCTTCACGAGCTGCGCATCAACATCAAGCTCACGCCCTGGTCAGCGCAGCAAACATCACTTCCTATTGACTCTTTTCAAAATAAAAGTCCATTTGCGCAGTTGCAGCACAACGTTGGCGATTTAAAAAAAAACAGAATATCTGTAACATGATTAAACTTCAATAAAGATGAATGAAAACACATAAGGTCACATCACAGTTCAACACAAACTTTAATCAATTAGTTCATTAATGAATTTGTTTACTGACAGAGACTGACTAATCACTCTTTCTGCCTAATGGTCTTCATCAGGGAGTGAGGGATGGACTTCATTTTATGACACGTAGACAAAATTATTAATAAATTAATTTATTGTTACAGACTTGAATCATAACAGGTAAAAAAGAATCAGTTGCACGAAGGTTTAATAATGTAGTAACATCATGTAAATAAACAGTAAATATAACTAAATGAGTTTTATTCTCACATGTAACATGACAAACACTTTTCTAACAGGACCAGAGAAAATAATTGTAACAGAGAATCATAAAGATAAAGATGAGCTAAACTTAACAGCATTCTCTGATAAACCTAAACTGATTAAATATTGTTGTTAAACTGTGGAGTTATTATAAATGATAAAAACACAAAAACTTTTTATTTTGTATTCGTTTTATTACAACTGTACAAACACTTTACCGCTTTTCTTATGAAGGAAACAAAGCAACGTCCAATTTCTATAGTACTCTACTGTCTTTACTGCAAACTGCGCAGGCGCACTGACAGCGACCTGACGTCATGATATTATTATGTGAATATATTATGATATATATCAGTAAAAGCAACAGGAGAGAGTAGATCATGGTAAAATAGAGTAGATAGATACTTTATTTATCTCCTAGGGGAAATTCACATGTCCAGTAGCTCATTAGTAATAATAATAATAGTTGATAATAAATAATAATAATAATAAATTAATCTAGTCTTTGGCTTAGGTGTCCAGCAGCCTGATGGATCTCCTGAACCTCTGTCCTGCAGTGAGACGTTGGCTGTAGCTGCTTCTCTGTCCTGTCACAATGGTTTGGAGAGGTATGTGATGATGATGATGATGTTGATGATGATGATGATGATGATGATGATGATGGTTTGTGAAGAAAAGCGAAAAAGAATGATGCAGAAGTTCCACTGGAGAAACGGCCATTTTAAGTTACTGTCCACACACGTGTAGATTCAAACGCAAACTGCGACCTTGTGTGATTTATTTATAATCTTTATATCACACAGTTTTCATACACATCTTTATTTATATATTTGAATGGATGGCTCTTTCCATTAAAACAGTTTATCAGTCAGAGCTGGAGACGCCTCGGACCCCCTCACTCCAGACTGCGGCGTCTCGTCCATCTCGGGCCAGGTGAGGCGCAAACACCACCTCTAGCCTGCGGAGGGCGCTGCACTGGTCGCCACGGGCAATGGTCCCCTGGAGACGCCTGATCATCAGCCGGACCATCACCTGATTGGCCCAGGCCAACCCCAGAGCAGGTGACACATTGGAGGACAGAGGTCTGAGACAGAGAATAAATTTGATCACGTCACAGATTTATAATCAATGAAAGTGATCCACAAACACTCCTTTCTCTTTGTTTCTAATTTGTTTCAAATCAGTGTGGATCAGATCAATAATAAATATATCAATAACATCAGATCACCATGAATGATTTAACAAAATAAAGATGAAGAAGAAAGAAGGAAGGAAGGAAGGAAGGAAGGAAGGAAGGAAGCAGAATGACAGATTAGTCAGTTTTTACCCCAAACTGTGATCAGCTCTGTTGAAGACATCTGTGACCTGAAACACACACATTATTGATTATTGATCTGTGATAACCATCAGATTAAAGATGGAGTTTGGTTGTGGCTGCCGCTCTGACGGACGCTGTCGGGTTTAGTTATGAAAATGTGTCATGTGGCACCTCCCTGCCTGCAGGGGGTATGGCTGCTTTTCAGCTGTCACCTGGACAACCAAGATTAAGACACTGACTTCAACCTGCTGCTAACCATCTAGTAGAGGCTTAGGGTGAGGGAGGATAGTTGAGTGTGTTACCTGGTTGATACAGAGGACAGGTGTGCTGAACTCCTGGCTCAGGTGGTGCAGTGTGGAGGAGAAGGTGAGCAGCTGTTTGTTCCTCTCCAGCCAATCATCAGCCTGGAACTCAGACCTGAACAGAGCCGCCACTGAGTCCACGACCAAGAGCCGGACCAGACCCCGAGCCAGCAGGAGGGGAACACGCTGGGACAGACACACCTGGAGAGAGTCCTGAGGAGACAGAGACAGGTGACAGGTGTGAAAAGGCCTCAGCCTCGGCCTCTGATCAGCAGGAGAGACTCACCAGATCAGCAGCATGCTCGATGTAGATCCGATCACTGAACTGGGTTCTGCTGATCAGGGATGGTGGGATGTCAGAGCGCAGACAGGACTGTCCTCTGATCAGCTGCTGGAGTCGTCTGATGGGAAACGAGTCCTCGGTGCAGATATAAACTGCTCCTGTACAAACACAGAGTTCATCGTAGCTCGTTCACTGATCCTGAGTCTCATGTTAAAGTTACACTTCATCAAAATCAAGTACAGGATTTAGAAGGGTTCAGGACCAGGAGCAGCCAGTCCAGATGTAGTCCAGATACAAACAGGTAGTTAAGATGGTGGTCAAGTTCACTACAGTCCTCATCTGAGAGAGATAACTCCAACCAAACTCCATACTGAGCCCGTCAGCCAGCGTGAAGCTTTACTGTGTGGGGAGCTGATGGTGTGTTTACTGACCTGAGTCCAGCCCTCTGTACAGTGTGGGGTACTGTACAGATAGACAGAGCTGCAGAGCCAGCTGAGTCTTTCCCGCTCCGCTCTCGCCAGAGAGCTCAGTGACCCCCCCCACAGGAAGACCCCCCCTCAGCAGCTCATCCAGTAAAGGACAGCCCACGCTGAGTCTGAGGCCGGACTCCAACCTGCGACACTCCCCACGATGGAGGACGAGGGCTGAAAACAAACACACAGGTTAACTCACTCTGACATCACACTGTCACATCCAATCAGAATGCACATCTGCTGCCCTGACCTGGGACTGGAGGGTATGATCTGTAGGAGGAGGCGGTAGCGGTGAGCAGCTGCTGGACGTCAGAGCGGGACAGGCCGGTGAGTCTCTGCAGGTCCAGACCAGAAACACATAAAACCTCCCTGACAGACTTCATCTTGGCTAGAGAGAGATGGAAACATGTGGTTACCATGGTCATAATAATCAGATCAAATGTCTAGTAGAATATGTTGAATGTAGTTTACCAAAATGTTGAATATATGTTTCATTAGATTGTGGAAGTACACTGATGTTACAACATAGATGATCTTATTTATTTTGATCTAATTTATTTTTATTAATTTTTGTTCATTTAATTGTATACATTTATATATTATATATTATATATTATTTTATTATTTATCTAATTTTTCTGATTAATTGTTTTTGTTTTATCGTTGAACAATATTTAAAGTTCAATAAGTGCGCGGTGTTACCAAAGTCAATGAGTAATCGTGTTAAATAATTGTGATCTCAAAATTGATAAAAATAATTGGAGCATCAGGAGTCAGAATCCTCTACTGATCATGAGACAGCAACACCTCCGACATGATCTCAGTGTGACCTGCTGTTAAATCATGTTTGTGGACAAGAAGCGACGTAACAAAAAGTTTATATGTGAATGAAGCCTGGTTCTCTGACCTCTCCTCACCGCTGCCCTGATCCTCGGGTTGAGCTCCAGTTGTTCCCAGTTCATCTCCCCGCTGCTCCAGAGAACCCGCCTTTTATCTCCGCATTAAACAATGTGTTTGTGCTTTGTCGTTTTGTTTTGTTTTTCTATCCGCGCGGCTTCACAACACTGACGAACACCCGCCCAAACGCCATACGTCATCACTCGTCGCCGGGGGGAACCATTTGCCCGGTTCAGTGGAGGTGAATCGTCCCGGTCTAAGACTAAAATCAAAGTCCATCTGTTACGTCACACAGAGAAATGTTAGTCTGGCCAAACACATCACACACAGCACTTGATATATGTCGTAAATGTTTTGACGTCATATACTCAGAGCTTATTTTTTCCGTCTTCGATAAAGTAACTCCCCGCACTCGGAGGTCCGGGCCTCGCAACGTCACTGCGCGGGGCCACAGGAAGAAAACAACCACCAACCAGGAACATGGATGAATAATATCAGAAACCGTTCAGTGATCAATAATCAGTATTTTAATGATCAGAAGTTCAATCTCGGGGTTCCTGTTTGTCTGTGGTTCAGTCTGGCGGAAGAATACATGGATTCTAACGGGAAAGCAAGGCTGACGACACAAACGGCTGCTCCGTGACTCTAACCGCTAAAGCGGATTCTGTTATTTTCTACTGTCGGTGAGTCCTGACGTTAATGTAGTTAACGTTTAACGTAATGTTTTTCACGTTTATCCAACAGTACTTCACACGTTGAGCTGCTGATAAAGTTTTACTGTGTTTGAATCTGAACCAAACGGTTATTGTTTTCATGATCGATTAATCCGTCGATTATTTTCATCAGCGATTCATCCGTTGATTAAAATTACTTGATTAGTCGGTTGTCCTATAAAATGTCAGAAAACAGCGAAAGTTCCCAGTTTTCAAAGTAACTCAATACGTTCAGATCTCAGTACTCTGATCCACAGACATATCTATCTATCTATCTATCTATCTATCTATCTATCTATCTATCTATCTATCTATCTATCTATCTGTGACATCATCAGCTTCCACATCTGACAGTATGAAACATAAAATGTCATACTTCTGAATGGAGTCTGGCACAGTGTTGCCTCTCTATAAACTGCCTCCAGTAGTTTTAAGTCGATGTCTATGAAGTATGTATGTAATTGAAAATGTATTTATATATAATATATATTTGTATAGGTCTATGAAGTAACTTCAGTTGACAAACTCCAACCAAAATCTGAATGTTAATGTTCCTGTCTATCAGCCAAAGCAAAGCTGGACACAGGGGCCACACGTCTGAGGAACAGTGACTGAAATTGTTTTATTTTTTTCATCATTCCCATTTCAAAATGTTCATCTGAAAATCTGACACGTCTTTAATTGGAATTAAGTTGCTGATAAACTGAGGAACACCCATTTTGTATTTAGGCACTGTCAGAATGGTTCTAATGTTATGATAATAGTGATACTCATAGGTGTAATAAGGTTAATAATAATAATTACATTAACAATGAGTGTAGTAGTGTCAGGTCTGGATCCTGGATCAGACACCTGAAGAATGAAGACAGAAGCTGTGCATCATGGGAGTTCTGTCAGGATCAGTTCTGGATGATTAACATATGATGAGTCTCTAATGATCCTCTAGTTTAATTACAGTTTAACAGAGTAATAACTTTCTTCGTTCTGATCTCAGGTCAGGTAAATCATCTCCAGTCTCACCTCCTCCTCCTATGTGTGATCCCCTCCCTGCAGGTTTTATTAACCCCCTTCACCATGAGCTCCAGGGTGTGCCGGACCTGTGGGGGGGCAGATATAGACGTGGATCAGGCTCGGGGCAGTGCGGTGTGTACTGGCTGTGGTTCAGTTCTGGAGGACAACATCATCGTTTCTGAGGTTCAGTTTGTGGAGGGAAGTGGAGGAGTTTCATCTGCTGTGGGACAGTTCGTCTCTGCTGATGGTGAGACACCAACACTTTGTCAAGTCTGACTGTCAGGGCCCAGATCCCCTGTAGAACTTGTAGTTAACAGGTGAGGTCAGGGCTTGTGACAGTATATTTCTGACTGGAGTCAATCTCTGTTCATGACCACCAGCAGTTTAAGGGAACATGTCAGATTCTACTGAGGCACTGCAACAAGATACAGAGGACACTCCAAACTCCAGTTTGTCCTTGTTCACAAGAACATGAGGAAATATTATTCATGTTAGGTCATATGAATTTTGTTTTTTTCAGTAAGAGATGAACATTAAGATATCCGATTACATCCACATCAAAATGGAAACAGTGATCTTTTATCTAATATATTTATATTCTAGGAAAAGAAACTTCTGATGACTTTAAATTATGATTATTTAGGGGACCACACTGATGGTTCTAATAATAATCTTTTTTCCCTTGAGCAGGTAACAGAGCATCAAACAGTTGAATGAACAAACAACCTTTATTGAATCAAACTGCAGATAGAAGCTGTTTGTTTCTGGTCTTCATCAGCTGAACTGTTTACCTGAAAGGAAAAGACAAACGACAGTTACACCCTCAGGAAAAAAAAGACAGCATTTTATCTATCCATTTTATTTTGAAATGTTTTCTGTTCATCAGTGGGACCAGTGTAAGTGTTTGCTAAGTGCTATGAAAGAACCAATTTGTACAGTACAACAAGTTTAAATCTTGACCCATCTCAGTCTGAACATTTTTGAAAACAATGAAAAAAATAGTCAAACATTTTTAAAAGTTTCTAAAGCAGACTTGAGTCTGTTGGTCCCTCTGTTTCTGACCTGACCAAAGTTCATTATCATGAACAGAGATCTGAATGTTGAAGGTGTTACCTCTCATGATGCCTTGGTGAACACTGGATCCATACTGACTGCCACAGTCTGACCTGCTGTGGATCTTCAGGCCTGAACCTGGAGCACCAGAACCATTAAGACTTGTGTGAGAACCAGTAAACCCAGCTCCTCCTGAAGTGGGATTCAGGCCCTCATGACTTGATGTGATGGGATCAGTTGGTTTATCTTCTCTGAGATCGGTCATCCTGCTGGTTCCTCCTCTGATGACAAAGTCGGGGTTCTGGAGGTTCAGCACTCTGGACTGGTCATCAACCTGGAGACGCATGTGAGACGCACCTGATGGTGGAGTGAAGTCAAACAAAAAAAAATTTAAACAGGGAAAAAAATAAAAAAATAAATAAATAAAAGATCTGGTGACTCTTGTCTCTACCTGTTGGTTGAGGGACGTTTCCTAGAGATTCCTGTCCCCCACTGTTTCCCATCTCAGCCATGGACTGGACCAGTTTCTGCTGTTGTCCCTGCTGGTTTGGGGATAGATCAGTGAGCCGGATCACTGCAGACTGATGCAGTTTGACTCGGACACTGTGAACACCTTGTCCCTGCTTTAGTTTTTGAAAACCTGTTTGTTCCTGTCTTGTGTTTGAACTTTTGTGGTCTTGAAGCTGTTGGGAGGTCCAGTGGTTCCCATCACTGCTGACAGCTGTCATACCAGTGCCATACTGGGACGGATTAGAGATTTGTGAGTTTTCTTGTTTGACAACAGGTTTCTGGTTTGTCTGATGTCCAGAAGACACTAATTTGCTCAGAGGTTTGACTCTGATGTTCTGTACTCCAGACTGAACCGTCTCAATGTTCCTCCTTTCAATGGACCCAGTTCTTTTCAGGTTTTGGTGAACCCAGCTGGTTGCAGTAGATGTTGCTTCATTGCTGACAGATTCCTGAGTTTCTTCAGATGAGTCAGTGACAGTATTTTTGTGTTTGGTATCAGTAGGAACATCTTTCTTGTCTCTGCTGGGCAGGTGTAGTTTGCCGCTGGTTGTACTGATGTGGTCTGGGCTGTACTGAGCTGGTGGTTGAAGGACTGGGCGAAGTTGGGAGGCTTGAGAAGGATCATACTGACTTTGAGGCTGGTAGACAGACCTCTCCTCCAAGTTTACCATTGCACCACCAAAAGACCCCTGAGAGTTCAAAGGTTGCTTAGTCTCATGTTGCTGGTTCAGCTCTTGTATGTCAAGACTAAGATCAACTTTCAGATTCTGCACGTCTTGATTTAGCTTAACGATTCCATTTTGGCCAAGAGTAGACTGGTACAATATCTGGCCAGAGTGCTGGGCATTTAAACTGTTCAGACTTGGAAGTGTCACAGTTTGGCCAGAGCTCCCCCAACTACTTTCCAATTGTTCAGCAACCACGGGACCAGGAGTCCCGCTAAAAGAATCCAAGACCAAGGCAGGGATGTCATCTCTTGATCCTGAATGTTCACCTCTCTCTTCTACAAAGTCCAGGCTTGGTGTGTTGAGGTTTGAAAGCTTGATGCTGTCTTGCAACTGGTTATATCTTAATAAATTTTGGTCGTCTGCCAGGGACATGAGATGACCAGAGAGAGATGAAACCTGCTGAGGGACTTGGTGGGTACTAACAGTTTGAGGTTCAGCAGAAAGATTCAGGATTGAAAAAGTTTGTTGGTCATGGGAGGAGGATGCCAGCTTGTTGTGTCGCCCTGGTACTGTAATGAAGCGGCTGGGTCCAGTGTTGGGTCGAGGCCGGATGCCAGGGTGAGACAAGACTCCACCTGCTGAAGGGATTTGGTGGGTTTGGTGGATGTGGCTAGTTGGGGTATTGATGGCATTTCTAGAAACCTGATGCGAGCACTCATGAGCAGGGACTTTCCTTGCTGAATCTGCAGGAAAATAAAGAGATTTTAAAATTCTGCCATTGAAACCACAAGTTATTCACATTGTAAATTATTTAGACAAATTAGAAAAATTGTTACCTTCAAGGCTCTCAAAGACTTTGACTGAACCATACCCAGGAGTCTCTGATCTGAAGGTCCTGTCCACAGTAAGTCTGTTGACTCCACTCAGTGGATAGAAGCACCTAACAGTTAACCTGTTGGAGAATCAGACACATTTCTTAAACTGTCTTGAATACTGATTTCGTATCTACTGGTTACAGCTCCAGCAGATCGTCTGGGGCATTTCCTTACTTGAACTGAGATTCCCTGGTGATGAAGTTTGGTCCATCTGCGATCAGCTGTCTGTCATGGAGGATCTCGTTCTCATAAACCATGTACGACTCCCCAACCTGTTGAACCGTCTTCAGTTACAAAACCTTACTACGCCTTTACATTTACTCACCTGAACATGCAGCATCTAAATGGAGATTAATCTTGTTTACCTGCTCCTCTTCTTAAATCAGATATAAAAATCATATTGTGGCCCTTTCATGACACCAAACGAAAAACATTTACAATTAATTGATCACTAATTCTATTAAATGTCAGTAAAAAAAAAATAAACCTACAAAAGGATTCAGTTTATTATCAGACAGCTGAAAAAAATGCAAATTTTTACATCTTAGAACCTATAATTGAAATTTGGTATTTTTGCTTAAAAAATACTTAAATAACCAATGAGCTAAATTAATTCCAACTAATCAACTACTTGTTTCAGCTGTATTCTAGTGGTTGGCAACAACCTCACCCCACCCAGTATTTTTGAGTCGTACCATCGCTCTCGTGCCACAGGAATCCACCTTGAACTCAAACAGGACTCTGGATCTGTCAGCCTGTTTGGGTCCACATGTGCGGTCCAGTAAACTGGTTCTTTCAGGGCGCACTGTGGGCCAGGTGGCTGTTGGAGTCATTACCACCGTCATGGTCCCGTCTGCAGAACAGACTGAAACCACACAGGGTCGATGTTACAGTTGGAGCCGAGTCAGAGACTGGACCAATCAGGACTATCAAGAGTGGGTAGATGGCTGTGGCTTGACCCTTTTGAAACCTTTTACAAACTTGGTCTCAATACTCTTGTAGACCCTTTAATCTCAGCATTAACCCGTTTTATTTAACCCCAACACAAATGTGTTAAGCCCTTCACTCAACTTCACACTGAGCTTCAGGGCTGAACTCAAAACCATTTGAGGCCTTTTGGGATGAGTCAGGATTATACAAATTCATTTTAGGTTAAAATGCATCTTCTTTAGGTTCAGTGTATAAGTGGAGTGCAGGTTACCTATCATGTCCTCTGTTTTGAAGAGGCAGCGTTTTGAGGTGGAGGTCTGGACCTCCAGAGTTTTGGAGTCTCTCAGAAGAAGCTTAAATGTTCCATAAAAATCTGACAGGTTGATCCCCTAGAGAGAAGGGAAAAAAAAAAAAAAAAAAAGTGCAAGTGTTGGCTATAGGGCTGCAACACTCAACATTTTCATTGTTGATTAGTTTATTTTTACATTCTGATAAAATGTTTAGTTTATAAAACATCCAACATATTGAAATGATAAAAAGGAGCACAGCTATATTTACATTAACATTGAAATTCAAATTCCTTGAATTGCATTGAAAATTCAGGTGGCAGTGATTTCAGGACTACCTGACTGTAGTGGGCCATCATGCTTTGTGGACTTACTTCGTATGTGTATCCGATGGAGAACACAGGGACTTCTAGGTTGGTTTTGTGGGTGTCATGGTGAAGGCTGTACCCTCTCTGAGCTGCTAGCTGTGATGTCAGAGGCTCATGGTCGACACCCACCTCCCAGAGACTCTCGGCTCGAGGCGGTCGGACCAGGCTGAAGGTGATTCCTCTGTCTGAACACTGAGCTGTGATCTCTGGAGGGACTTCAAGAAAGTCAAAATTTCAAACTAGATCGTACTGGTGGTTTTACATGTTGTAGTCTGACTGAAGGGTGAAACTTATTTCTAAGCAGCAAAGACCAGGAAACAATGTACATACATGCGTTGAATATTTGTGCTGTGATTAATGTGTGGTGGTAGTAGGAGTCTCCCTGGGGCATGATGGTTAAAGTGAAGTTTATATCTATGGAGTACTGCACTACTCCTCCACCCAGGTACTGTTGGAGAACACAGGTGTCAGAGAGGTCACAGCAGAACACACTTCTAATAACATTTATATTAAGCTTTGGTGAAGAAATATATCATCTTCTCAGTCACTACAAGAAATACAACAGTAACCACAACTACCACAAACAGGTCAGAAGGTGGTCCTCATTCTGTGTGGAGTCCTCACCATCCAGTGGACAGCGGCGTCCTCGAAGGGCAGTCGGAGCTCATAGGCTCGGCTGCCATTAACATGAACAACAGGACTGATGCTGATGGCTCGTTCAACATTCTCTGCCATCATCAGCTGCTTCCTGTTGATCCACACTTCCTCTAAAATGACATCAGCAGGAATGTTTCCCAGGTAGATGCTGAACACCTGGTCATCACTGATGGTCTCTACAGGAGTAAACACAAGTCAGAAAATGTTTCCGAACAGAATGAGAAAGATTCTGATACAGAACACTGGCAGATAAGACATTTGAATACATCATCATTCATTTATAAGTTGTAGAGAGAGATCAGGGAGTAGGATGACTGGTCCTTCACAACAGAAACACTGCAAATGTTTTGTTTGATGTGTTGGTTAGAAGCAGCCCGTGACCTTTATTGCTCTGTAAACAGTCAGTGAACAGAGAGACTTACGATCAAGACTGAAGGGTGGACGGCACAGCAGCGGCGTGTCGAGCACTCTGAGCATTCGGTGTCTGGTGTTGATGCTGCTGCTGTCTTCATGCAGCAGAGAGAAGACATGTTCATACAGCAGGAAGATCACATACAACTCCTTGTACATGTTGTTCACCACCAAACTCTACAGGAAGAAGAAACTGACAGCTAGAGGCAGACTTTACACTGACTTCAGTCCTCACTTTGCATATACATGTCACTTGGAATAAAACGTCTTTGTCAAAACTTCCTGTCTGAAGAAGGACTGTACCTTCCGGTAGCCACCCTCTGCCCCTAAAGGAACCCTGATCTGGACTAGTCTTCCTTGTTGGACCAGACTGAATCCTCTGGTGGTGGCGGTGGGTTCGTCCAGCAGTACACCTTCCACCCCAACACTGAGGTTCTGACTTTCAAATCTCACAGCCTCTTCAACCAGAGGGGTCATGATCCAGGGGACATCCCAGAGCAGCCAGGCACCGTCAAAAGAACCTGAATCTGAGGAAGGATCAAGAGACGTCATTAGCCATTAACCTTTTACCAGTCAGACAGAAACCATCTTCCTATGCCTGTGGAGGAGAACCTACTGACTGTGCAGGCCATGGACATGTCGATCATTGCCACCATCAGCTTTCTCTTGAAGAGCAGGGAAACTTGGATGACCTCCACAGGGACACCGTCCACCTGATAACATTTCATTATGACTTCCAGACATGCATGACATATGGGGAAATTAAATGCTCACTCTCCAGGGTGAGAGTTAGCAATAAATCAGTGACTTATTTAGATGTTAATAAGTTTGTTCTGAATATTACTGTAAACAACAACAACCCAGGTGACCCTCTCAATAACTTGCAGACATGTGGACTAATGTGAAATTCTCATAGTGCCAAGAACTGTCAGAATCTGTAAATCAGTCCACAAAGGGCCTCACATAGACTTCCTGTGTACTTCATAGAACTTGTCTTGTGATGGTGTAGACTCTTTTTGACAACACGTGTATTGACACATGAACAGAATATAATAATATTTTGAACTTGTTATACTGTATAATAGATAGACAGACCTACAATATGAGGGTTCTCAATTGGAGTACTGTTAAGAACCATTCAGAAATATACTTTGAAGAGGATTATATTGGGGGGGGGGGGAACTTGAATTCATCTCCACAGAGAGTTTCATAGTGCAACCTTGCAGACGATGACAATAAACCTGTCACGATGCAAATGACCAAAGCCTTCAAGTGTCATTGACACACCACCAGGGAGGGTTCTAAAACTGTGACTGGTGTCTGCTAACATAGCTACCCACCATTATGACCTTGGCGTGCGGCTGTTTGTACTGGGATCGAAGCACCATCCTCTGGGTGGTGGTGGTCAGGCTGTAGCCCTGTGTCTGGGCCTCACTAATGGACATGGAGGACACCTGTCCATCACTCTGCAGGAACATCAGCTGCCAGGCCGCACCTGCCGTCTTCTGAGCCTGAACACCACCAACCAAACACACCGGCAAAACTTTAGATACCAAGCACTCAGATTCCAGCCTGGGTTTTGTTTCGGTAGCTTGGTCCAGAAAGAGATGCAAGTGCTTACAGATAACATTAGTCTGACCGGCACAGGTAGAAATACCATAAAAACCAGTGTGCTCCTGTCCTCAGTTGATGTTTACTTCAATATGCGTTGGTGTGATCTTACCTGAGACAACGCCGCCTGCCACACCTGTCCGCCCTCCCCCCGTTGACCTCCACATGAAAACTCTCTGTTCACATTCACCTGTTCGACACCATGGCACCAGATTTAAAACACAGTCAGTCTGACAGGTCGATCAGGTTCCCCATTTTAGACACAACCTCAAGTGGTGGAAGGTATTCTGACCTCCATGTAGTCTTCCTCACAGATAATCTCTCTGTGGGTCCAGATCAGACCAGAACAGACTGCAGAGACAGGTCGGCTGATCCACCCACCCCCACCGCTCACAATCACGTTAAATCTGAAGGTGAACACCTCGTCATTCTGGAAAAAACACAAACACAAAGCCTCAGAACAGCTACAGTCAGTCTTTGGGATGACCAGAAATAACAAAGTGGAGCTACCTGGTTGTGGGTCAGGTGAAGTTACCTGGTTGTGGGTCAGGTGAAGTTACCTGGTTGTGGGTCAGGTGAAGTTACCTGGTTGTGGGTGAAGCAGGAGTAGTATGAAGCTCTGAAGGTGGTGAAGCCGTCCATCTTGAAGGTGCTGATGGTGTAACCACAACGTGAGGCGAGCTGCTCACTGATGGAGTGGACCCCATTTCCATCTACACCAGGACGTTATAGTGTTATCTGTGCAACACCAAACCATGACAGGCAGCCTGAAGTTTGATCATCATAACAGGAAGAACCGACCTACGGCCTCGAAGCGAGGTGTTTGTACCGACGCCACCTGGATCCACAGGTAACGGTCCCGACACTCCGACTGAACATAAGCCTCCACGAATCCTGACGGGACATGAGGATCATTCAGCAGGTCAGAGGAAACCAAGGAATCCGAGTCAGGTTTCAGTGTCTGTGGTTTGTATTAAGAACCTTCAGATTACCAGAAGAGACTGTTAAGAAACGAGTTTACCTTCCAGGTGACCTGCGGCTGTTGTTCTCTCTGTGAACTTGCAGCAGAGAAAGACGAGCCTAGGAAAAAAAGCATTTTTTAGTTGTCCAGGTGAGACGTTTGTTTTACCTGTGCAGGTGAGACGGTAAATTGAACTCACCTGATAATGAAAGCAACAGTTTTCATGTTGAATCAGGAACAGAAAACTGAACCGTTTCTCTCTTTGTTGAACAAAACTTCCCCTCTGCAGCCAGGTGAGCTTATCACCTGGTTGTCATGGTTACAAAGCAATGGTCCCAGCTGAAGGGGGTTGAGTCTGATTACAGGTGGAGCTTCAAGCCAAGCAGGTGGGTGTAGAAATATAAGTGAATATATCCAGTCAGTGTTCAGTGATCCTCTCAAATCAAATGATGTTGTTCTTCCTGTCCATATGACAGTAGCTTTATCACCTGACTGTTCCAGTCTGAACACCTGACCTCACCTGTCCCCCTCCTCTTTCAGGCCCAGTTAAAGCTCCTCTACTTGGTTCTGGTTTCCACACTAGTGTTGGTAAAGAGTCCAGAGCCCAGACCCTGCAAAGTGGTAAGTATATCCAAAATCATCATCATCATCATCATCATCACTATCACCATCATCCTCATCTTTGCGATAACACAGCATACAAATATGGTTTGAATGTTCCTAGAATCTATGGACTTTGTCTTACAAATTCTTGTGAAACCATACTTGACTCACGGCCTTTAAATCTGGTTAAAGTAGAGTGACAGACAACCACTCACTAATATTACAAAATTACACTGTAGGCATTTATTATGTTTATCTACTATTTTACTCAGATATTGCACTATTTCTATGAACCTATAGACTTTGGTGAACACATTTCAAGCATTAAAACAATTCATCCACATCAATAAAAGTTTGTTTTCACAAGAGATTTGAAGAATTTCAAAAACTAAGCTTCAGTTTTTGAGCATTTGGGCTGAATGATTTGTTTACACAGTGAGTGGCCCCATATACAGAAAGCTGAGATTGTTCTGAGGATAGTGGTATAAAACACTGGTATTATCTTATATGTAAGAACCCTATAAAATGTGTTTTAAGAAATAATGGAGAAATGGAGAAAATGCCCTCAGACCTCAGAGGGTTAAAGCACTCTGGTGATGTCACAGCTCCCCAGATTTCCCAGTACAATACCAGTTTGTACTGGTCGTCCTGTCACACGATGCTTATGCTCACCTGAGTGCTAAAGCTTCGTAAATACTACAACACATTACATCACAGTCACACCTGCTGAATCATGACATCGTCTGTCCAGTTCAACACCAGTCCTGCTTTATTAGTCGTGTGTTGAAAACCAAGTGCTACATTGGACACCTGAGAACCACCTGGAACCATGTTTCACCTCCTGATCAGAACCCAAATTCAGTTACAGTGAACAGTCCACAAAGTGTAGGCAGAACAGCAGCAGAACCAGAACCAGTGACAGTGTTTCCTCTAGGATTTTTTTCAGCAGTGGGGGGCATGCTCTCCGGGTGGTGGGGGGGGGGCAGTTGACAGCAGATTTTAATCTCAAAACCTATTTCTTGGCTGGCCAGTTGAATATGCTTTTATCGCTGCCATTGAACTTTTACAATATATATCTCAGCCATATACAATGTCAAGAAAAATAAATACCTTTGGTTTGTGAAAAATAAATGTTACTTCAACTCTAACCAGTTGAAAATGTAAAAAGTAAAAAATAAATAAAACAATAACATTAAATAAATAAAAATAATAAATAAACATATAAAGATCAGCTAGATGGGGCTGTAGAGTCAGTGGCAAAGTTTGCACCCAGGCTCAGAGCACTTGATTTTCAGCGTTATATAGTTTACAATCACATCACATCTGATTACAAGTGTGAACATTAAAATATTATTTTTTACCTAACAATCATCATTTACGAGTCAGTAAAAGGCTTATGATAGGCTACCTGACTAGCGTCTTCATCAGTTGTCTTTCTCTTCTTAGAGAAGTATCTGAACAAGCTCATCTGAAAATGCAGTCAGCAGTTAATACATAATGACGTGTAGATATTAGCTTAATGCTATCAATTAGTTTACCCAAGTTAGCGTCACTGAGTTGGCTAATAAGTCTACCTTTTCTCCGGTAGTTCGCTGCCTTATTCCTCACGACTACACTTCTCTGACTCTGACCTGGTGCCTGACGTGACGTCACTTTCAAGGCCGCGCTCTCGCGAGTAATTAACTCCAATAGGATCCCCCAACCACCCCACTCCCTCCCTCCCCTCTCCTCCCCTCCCCCCGCTGTTGCGCTCATCATCACACAGGCTGTGCTGTGAAGGTGGCGGGCCGCCACTGCTAAATGAATGTAGAGGAAACACTGAGTAAGCAGAGCCAGAGATAGAGATTGGTATCTGATCACATATCTGAAGATTGACAAAATCTTACAGCACAGACCTCAGGTTCACACACATGACTTGAATAAGAACTTTGATACTGAGTGAAGAGAGGTAGCAGCCTCAGACTGGCCCTTGATGGGAGTGACAGCACAGGTGAGGTGGTGACATGACTTTCAGTTCAGATCATTGGATGACAGTGGAGAGGTGGAGCTTCAGTGTGATGACGAGATGAGGCTAACGGCTTCATAAAGAGAGGAGTTTAAATTATTCTCTTAAATATCCATGAAAAATGGCCTGAGGGCAAAAAATAATTAACCCTTTATGTCTCCAAGTAAAAAAAACGGTGATAATCAGGTGTACCTGTCTCTCCAGGTAAGCGTCAGATACAGCAGCTGGGCAGTCAGCTACAGCTGAACCAGCACTGTTTGGACACAGCCTTTAACTTCTTCAAGATGGTCGTCAGTAAACATTTGACCCGAGGACGTAAGACGGAGCACGTCATCGCCGCCTGTCTCTACCTGGTGTGCCGCACCGAGGGGACGCCGCGTATCCTCGCAACTGCTGTGTGTGTGTGTGATTTAATCTTTACCTGTCTCAGCTGAATGTTAAATCTGTCTGGACCTCACTATGGGCCCCCACACTCTGCTGGTCTTCCTGAACTGCGCTGCAGACATGCTGCTGGACCTGAGTGACCTGCTGCAGGTACGACTGACCTCACACCTGCTCTCACCTGATCTCACAGTAGACTCGATTTTAACCTGGCGTTTCCTGTGTCCAGGTTAACGTTTACATCCTGGGAAAGACGTTCCTGCTGTTGGCTCGTGAGCTCTGCATCAACGCTCCTGCCATTGGTAAGAACCTTATTCTCTTTAAATAACCTTAGGTTTCTCTCAGTATTTCCACATTGAGTCTGAATTTAAGTGTGAGGTATTTACCTGAAACAAATTTTCAAGTTTCTGTTGCTTCATCATTACATTTGTCTTGTTTGTCAGAAATGAGCATTTGACCGACGAAATCAGTTTCACATTAACAAGATCAAAAAAGCAGCTCCTCCAACAACATCCACGTCTTACTGAATCATTTCAATGACTACAAGTTAAAGACTCATGTCCCTGTAAACAATCAACATGCTGATCCATTGTCTGGACCCCAAACTTTGTCTTTCATAAGAAGCTCAAAAATCTAATGATCTCTTTGAGCTCAGACCATCACTGACCAGGGAGAAGTGAAAATAAAACAAGAGGACAGTGTTTCTAAGACTTGGTGTCAGAGAAGTTTATTCTCATAAATTTGACCTGGTGTCCAGTGACTTTACCAACGTCCTCCCTTTAGGAACTGCAGGGAAAAGTATAGGACTACATTTCCTATCAATCACAACAGGTCATCATAGTTGTAAAGGCTGAAATAGTAACATGTGACTCTGTGACTCTAGTAAAATCTAGTGGCAGCTGCAGGAAACTACATCAGATATTTCAGGACTAAACCTCAAAGAAATAGCAACACAGTTTTGTTTCTGTCACTTCAACTTTATTTTTCAGTTTAATTTCCTTTTAAAAAGCACTGATACAGCAGACAGCCAATCAGCTCCCAGTCCCATTACAACAGTCCAATCAGCTTCCAATTCACTACAACAGTCCGTCTATCAGAACCAGAGCTCCTATCTTTAACTTCACCACTGTGCTTATTGATTGATTAAAGGCGTTGAAGCCGTCTGTCAGGCTCTGTTTCAGCAGTAGAATACCAGTTCAGGGATCTGCCCCCCCTGCACGCCGGTCCCATTGGTACTGTCTGATGAACACTGAAACTGGAAGGTCACTTTCCCACACTGCACCTCGGTCATCCCCTCCTGTCCAAAGTAACTCAGTTCATTTCCATCCAGGACGGCGCTGACCGTGTAGAACGTGTCCTGTTCTACCTGGACTGGGTGTTCAAACCATACGGGGAAGGTATTGCTCGACCCGTCTGACAGGAACTTGGTGAAATTCTGGGCCAGGGCAGTTCCTTGCCTCTTCAGTTCAATCTTCACGCTGTACTCCGCCTTCCCGCTGCTCGACCCGTACAGACCGAGTCCGGCCATGAAGATCCTCCGGTCCACTGCAAACTGGATGCTGTCGCAGCGTCCCCTATAGCGCCACTGGTTGCTCCGGTAGGCCGAGGACTGGAAGCGGTGGCACCTCTGCGGCACAAGTCCGGCCCGCTTTACCAGGGGAAACTCCAGCCTGGGTTTGTTGGTGGCGGTGAACCACAGGAAGACGTCACGAGTCTCTTTCAGCGTCAGGACATCTGACTGCGCTGCCCCATCTGCAAACTCCTGTAGCGTCATGGATGGGATCCGGACCAGGTACAGGGCCTTACTCAGCACTGCCCGCTGGTTCCTGGGGGTCACCACCAGGCCCTGCCGGCGACACACAGCCGCTGCCCAGCTCAGCACCGCCTGGAAAACCACAACCTCACGGATGTTGAGTGTTTCTCTCTGCAGGATGATCTCCAGCGTGGGCAGGTCAATCTCACAGAAACCTTCAGATCGCAGAGCGAGCTCAGTCTGAGCGTCAATCACCTCCCAGCAGCGCTGCGTCAGTTCCGGCTCCTCGAACAGCCGGCTCTGAGAAAGCAGGACACAGGCGTTCTTCGCCTCCAGACTGGTCTCCAGGAAGGTGACGCATGCCTTTGCCAGAGCAGGAACAATGTACTTCTTGGCAGCATAGAGCGTAGCAAGCACGGTGTCTGCCTCCAGCTCAATCTCATCACTGTACATGTACCTAAGACAGAGCACACAGCAGGACAAGGACTTCTGTCATGGACCTGAGAGACAATGATCAACAGACTTAAAACATGCCAATTACTTGAAACTAGGCTTACAGACATTTGAACGCTGGTGTTGGGTAGTTCAGTCTTTGACCTCCCGGGCACTGAACTCCTGTCCCTCTTGGAGCACTGAGACTCCTTCACTAATCTCTCAACCTTCCTTGAGGACTTAAAGATTCCTGAAGGACTATTGGAGCGACAGCTGTCTCTCCAATCTGATTGACATGTGGACAAGTTGAGCTGGGACTGAACCACCAACTTTATGATTAATGTCTAAAGTGTCCTTAAGCAAGACACACTAGAATTAACATTTTATAAGACCAGAATCCTCTTTAAGACCCTTGAAGCCAAACAATCTTCATCTGCACATCCTTGTGAAGCTTGGAGGCATGCTAAGTTAGCGCCAGTCAGTGACTTGTTTAGTTCAGGACTCTGGTCTTTAATGCCACTGAATCATCCTAAGACTGGACTCACTTCAATAGGATGAGGAAAGCAGCCGGCTCCACGTCAGGGATGTGGATCTCAGATTGTCCCTCAGCCAGATCTCCATAAAACATGGCTCCAAACACAGAGCTGCCCACTGCCAGGACATACTACAACACAGACAGACTAGTCTGAGCCGGACAGGACACAACATAGAGGTGTACTGAAGAGATAATGAGGCTCAAAGCATGTGTCATATTACTACGACTGAATCAAGTTTCATGCTGCCTGCGAGAACAGAGAACACAACAAATTATGTTTTATTTAGATAGCACTGAGACTCAGGTGACTTCAGGTAAGTCCAGGTATAATGTAAACCAGGTCCTGTACCTTATGAGCAGGGACTCTCTGAGTTTCTCCTGGAGGACCGACGATGAAGTGGACATCAGCCATCTGCTCGTTGTTGAACATCAGAGCGTTCCTGCAGAGATACACAACAACAACATGTCAACAACAATACAAACAACACCGGAACGACTCGGGATGAACCAAAACAGCAACCTGCAGAATCTAGCTCTTCAAAGTCAGTTTTTTCTGAGGTGAAACAAACTTTTACTAATTATAACTACGATTCAGGAACAACAGGAGGAAACTGGAGGAAATGACAGCAACACCCACAACTCAAGTAATATTTAAAAATACTCTTACAACTCAAAGTGGTGCTGCAAATGTGTTTTAGACTTTGCACTGAGAAAAGCTTTTCCTGTTTCTGAGGGAACGTCAATCTGCTCCCACTTTACTGAGCAGCATAATAATACTTCAAACAAGAATATGCTAATTTAATTCAAAGACAGGTGGTTAAATTAGTATGAGAAATTCATCCAGTATCTGTTGTCTTTATACTATCTGAAGATTGTCCCTCAGTTCACTAAATCCCTGCAGCACCTGAAGGCAGCAGGACACTGCAGTCAGAAACATGGTTAAACATACCTGGAAACGACAACAACACACTCAACACATCACACTGTTCTGTAATATGTCCTGTCTCCTCCATCAGCACCAGAGTCGTGAGTGTTGTCCTGTTGTCCAATCAGCAATCAGTTATAACTCACCTCTCTCTGAGGGTGGGATGTGCGGCCTGCCAGCTGTCTCCCACCTCTCCCACGTTGTTGTTGCCATTTGGCTGATCGGTGTCTCGCTCGCAGATGTTTTCGAACGTCGGCTCCGGTTCGCTCAGCTGGATGAAACTCTTCTTCACCTCCACCACCTCCACCTCATTACTGTGGGGGAGGCTGGTGGAGAAAAGTTCAGCCGCCATCTCCTCCTGCTCCTTAAAGGACGAGCAGCAAGGTCAAGGCCTCACAGCATGATGACAGCTTCCTGTCAGGATAAATCTGAGGATTGTCATCCATGTTGTCACAGAACATATTCCTGTCTCACTGTTGTTCTGACCATCAAATCATCTACTAATTTACCTGATTAATCATTTAGGCTGTAAAATGTCAGAAAACAGTGACACTTAGCTTTATTTGTAAATAACAACATAAAAGCAGTAAATAATATTTCACTGGTTTCCCAGCAGGCATTTGGTTTTAGTCCTCCTCATAGAACAGACCAGAGCTAAAACAGCCATTTACATCTGCATCCTAAATGTATACTACTACTACTACTACTACTACTACTACTACTGTCAGAGTACACCTGCAGGTAGTTTATGGTATTATTAACAGGCTGCAGATGTCATCCATCCAGCAGGTGTTCAGGTGTTGCTCAGGTTGGTATTAACTCTGTAAACAGTTGTGACCTGGTAGTTCACTGGTTACTGTGACAATCTGAAACATCAGCCTCACACCAATCTGTAGTTTATTTCCTTCAACACACACGTGTTAAAAGAAAATGACCTGAACCCTCTGCTCACAGACGCAGTTTAATGTCAGTCTGTTCACAGACTGTGGTTTCAGTTACATTTACTCATTTGAAAGACTAATAACAGGTTTCTGTTCAGTGACTCCGGAGCAGTGCCCGAGAGAACCTGAGACCTGGTCTTCTCTGAGACCTGGACCCCGTGTTACAGAGGTCGGCTAAGTCCTGAGGGTCGTGGATCTCAAGGGTCACTTTATTGTGTACCACCGGGTCTGACTGCGGTTACTAGTTGAGTCCGGTTCTCCGCCGTAGCTCCCTTAGTTCAATAATCAATAGTCATCCGGTCCGTCGGCTCAGATAGACGTCATGTCTACCGTTACACCGACAGTGTGTGTCACTGTCCGGTTAAGCTACATTAGGCCTGTTGCTGGTATCTCCGGTGCCGACACAGCCCCATTAACACGGAGTCGGTGTGTTTTACCTGCCAGACTCCCGCCACACGCTAGTTCTGCCGTTAACGTTGAAAAAACTCCGACACCAGCTTCGGTCCGTTTCTCCTGACGCCATTTTAGATCCTGTACATCCGTCTTCACCGAGCTGCTCCGCGAGATGGCGACAGAGCGCGGCAAACTGGTTTAATGTTGTTTTTTAATGTGCAGAACAACAGGAGGTCTTATACATAATATTTAAAACTATATTTGTCACATCAAGTTTATACTCGTTTACTTAGCGTCATAGTCAGTAATGTATGTCCTTGTTTCCTCTCCTCCTCTCCTTGTTTCCTCCTCCTCCTCCTCCTCTCCTTGTTTCCTCCTCCTCCTCCTCCTCTCCTTGTTTCCTCCTCCTCCTCCTCCTCTCCTTGTTTCCTCCTCCTCCTCCTCCTCTCCTTGTTTCCTCCTCCTCCTCCTCCTCTCCTTGTTTCCTCCTCCTCCTCCTCCTCTCCTTGTTTCCTCCTCCTCCTCCTCCTCTCCTTGTTTCCTCCTCCTCCTCCTCCTCTCCTTGTTTCCTCCTCCTCCTCCTCCTCTCCTTGTTTCCTCCTCCTCCTCCTCCTCTCCTTGTTTCCTCCTCCTCCTCCTCCTCTCCTTGTTTCCTCTCCTCCTCCTCCTCCTCTCCTTGCCCCACCCCAACACACAGACCCCTGTCTCTACATCCCTCGGTTTGCTCACATGTTGGAGTTCGGGGTGAAGACTCATGAGGTTTCTATGACAGCTCTTCGTCTGGTTCAGAGGATGAAGAGGGACTGGATGCACACTGGACGTCGACCGTCCGGCCTCTGTGGAGCAGGTAGAACGTGACTGTTACCATTGCAACAACAAACATCAACAACAACATAAGATTGTTAACATTAAATAAACAATATGCCCCCCACAGCTCTCCTGGTAGCAGCTCGGATGCATAAGTTTCGTCGTACAGTCAAGGATGTGATCAGTGTGGTGAAAGTCTGTCAGACCACTCTGAGGAAGAGGTGAGACCTGCAGTAGATCACAGTGGATCACAGTAGATCACTACAGTGGGTCACAGTAGATCACTACAGTGGATCGCTGCAGTAGATCACAGTGGATCACAGTAGATCACTACAGTGGATCACAGTAGATCGCTACAGTGGGTCACAGTGGATCGCTGCAGTAGATCACAGTGGATCACAGTAGATGGCGGTGCCCTTTCTCCATGCCTGCAGGTTAACAGAGTTTGAGGACACACCCACCAGTCAGCTGACCATCGATGAGTTCATGAGAGTGGACCTGGAGCAGGAATGTGATCCGCCATCCTTCACCGCCGCTCAGCACAAGGCCAAGATGCAGCAGGTAGGTCTGTCTCTGATTGGCTGCTGAACAACCAATGATCAGTAACTAAACAACTTCCTGTCCTCTTCCTCTGCAGCTGGAACAGGAACTGACCAAGAAGCTGGACGAGGTCGAAGGTCAGTGACTGACTCTACAGGGGGGGTTGTTAGGACAATAGGGGACACTAACTACTTAGAGCAGAGGGCACAAGGACACTCTGAAGGACACTAGGGGAGTGTCAGGACGGTGCAGGACACTGAGTTAGAACACTTTAAAGACTAACCCTTTTCCCTCTGGTCCTGTCAGGAGAGATCAGCTGCTACAAAGACGAGATTGAGACGGAGCTGGAGAAGAGCCGACCTAAACTGAGAGGAATCTATGCCGCCTACGCCAAAGAAATTGGTGTGTACTGATCCACAGTCAGGTGAGTCTACCTGTCCAACCTCAGACACTCAGATTCAACCTTTCCTTACTCCGTGGTTCTCAGACCCCGAGGACGCGGAGACTTTGTCCTCCACCTCTGAACCGGAAGAGTTGGAGGTTGAAGACGCAGAGCTCCAAGCTGCCACCCAGCACCTGACCCAGGACTTCCTGTGTCAGGTGATCCAAGAGGAGGAGGAGGGGCGGGAAAAGAGGACAGGTGATGGCAAGCAAGAGTCGAGGCCAGACAAAGGGGGGGCGGGGCCTCAGCGTCAGGTCCCACCTCTGGCCGTCATTCTGGGGAAGCTGCCAAACACCTCCAGCCTGGACCTCCAACAGACCTTCCAGACTTTCAACAAGTCAGAGACTGACCAGACACCTGACAGTAAGACCAGAAACACCTCTATTACATCATCATGACATCATCACAGTCAGAGGCAGGCGAGGACAGGTTGTGTGGTGTTTATTCTGCTGTTGTTTGGATGTTTCTGCAGATGATCAGTCGGACAGTGGAGAGCTGGACCTGGACGGTATTGATGATCAGGAGATTGATAAGGTCAGTTCATTCATCAATCACTGTATTGATCCCTTCTGGACCGCATACATGAAAACTGACTCTGATGAAGCACAAACATAAAGGTAAGTCGTTTGTAGGATAAAATCATTATGTTTCCATTAGTCACACAGATTGTCAGCCATCTTGAAAACAGGCTGAGCTACTTCTGTCTGCCTGTAGAGGGCATCACTCGCACACAATGGTGATTTACATAAAGGACAAGATGACGGTTTTGTTGCTCTAATTCTTGGAACAACATTCGTCTTTATTGGTTTTTCTCTGCTTTACTGTTGTCTCTGGAGAAGTGAACCACCTTCATAAATAAACATTTTTTACTGTGAAAGGATGTCTGTACAGGATGTAGTGTCTTCTTCTTGAGTCTGATTCTCTGCTGCCCTCTGTGCTGCAGTACATCCTGAATGATAAGGAGGTGCAGGTGAAGACGGAGCTGTGGATGAAACAGAACGAAGAGTACCTGAAAGAGCAGAGAGGTCGGACCTTCATCATTTTCATCTACATCATCATCAACAGCAGAGCAAAAGCACACAAGACTTTTTACAGTCACTGATGATGAATTTAAAGAGACACTAAACATTCAAACCCAGCTCCACCTGATTATCAGTATGTGTCGGCTCCACCCTGTTCTATCAAACCATTTCAGAATTTACAAAAGACTGTTAAAAAATATGTCCTACTTTTGTTTCACTCAGCACCACAACAGAACACATTTCAGCTGTTCTGAGTCACAAAAGATAAATATTTAAGACCTATGACTCAAAGATTGACATTTAAAGAACTATAAGTCGTTTTGTCAGTCAGCACAGCAACTCAAAAAACATTTTTTTTAAATAATGATAACATAATGTAATATATAATAAACGATTTTTTTGCAGAACACCAACATCATACAACGTTACACCAACAAAATAGAACGTAACTCCTACAGAATACTGTGTATTTCACACAGAGCTCACTTAGTGCTGTTTGTTTCTTGTGTGTTTACAGAAAAGGAAGAGAGGATACAGAAAGAGAAAGAACAGGGGGTGTATAGAGAGAAGGTGAGTGTGTTTCCGAAGCACAGGGTTTCCCAGGCTGGCGACCAGGGGCTGTCCTGGTCAACCTGATCCGACCTCCTGACCTTTCTTCAGTTCAGCTGTTTTCATTACGATGCTCCATTTAAACACAAATACACAAACAACTCATTCACACAAATAACATCAGTAAACATCAACATGAATCATGTCCCTTCAGTTACTGAACCCACTGCGTCCACAGTTAGCACACAAGCTAATTCTCATTTGTGCTCTGATAAATAGTACATCACATTCACGTCCTCATATCCCGCATGAGCACGGTTTCCATGGTAATGCAGCTGTTTCATCAAGGCCTTCGTTATACGGACGTTGGCGGGGTTTCTTCTAAACTGCCCTCAGATGGACTTCCCCCTTCTCTTTGATCTTAAGCTTTATTTCCTAACGTCTTATTAATTGTCAGATTATAAATGTTTGTGTTCAGGTCAATCTGAAGAAAACTTTTAAGTTTTAAAGTAAAGCTGATTTATAATGTCACTGATAACTTCTGAATTGACCGCCGTGTGTCTGCAGAAGAAGAAGAAGTGTAAGAAGAAGGAGCAGATCGAGGCACTGACGGCCAGCGAGGCAATCGAAAAGATGCTGGAGAAGAAAAAGATCTCCAGTAAAATCAACTACGACGTCCTCAGAGACCTGAACAGCAGAGGGGTGGGGAGCGGAGGAGGCAGCAGTCCCAGCAGAGCCTCCTCCGACCCCCCCGACCCCAACAACACCAGCACACGGAAACGACTCAACCGCCGCCGCCGCAGGAAGACCAGCGAAGCTAACCAAGACCTTGCGGCTAACGCTAGCATCATGGGGAAGAGGTACAATTGATAATCTATAATCTGTATACAATGTATAATCTATAAAATGCATACATGATTGATTACTGTATTTAAACATATAATCTGTAATCTTCATGTACAAATTAAAACTAAAGAATCAAATATTTCTTTGTTTTTCTTCCTGAACTTTATTTTGTAATTTTATCTCCTTTTGTTTCAGGTTCCGTCGCCTTATTTCCTCCACAACAACAAAGAAGAAGAAAATTGCCTCTCAGGTGAATAACTTCACTTGCTCCCACTCTGTGTGTGTGTGTGTGTGTGTGTGTGTGTGTGTGTGTAAAGTTACTGTTGTAGTTAAAAACTTTGTTTCACCTCTCAGGTAATAAACTCCGTCACCATGACAACACAAACGTTATCAGAGGCCACGGCTGAGCCCCCTCCTGACCCTGAACCAGACAACAGCTCCGCCCCACCAGCTGCCCCTACCACTGTGGAGGAGGAGGAGGAGGAGGAGGAGGAGGAGGAAGAGGAGGTGGAGGTGGAGGAGGAGTGTGTCAGCGCTCTCCAGCTTGTAGGAGGTCAGTCATGCTTTTATTGTGAAAATCCAGGTTTTAAGCACAGAGAGACTCTACTGAAAAATGTTCAAGTATAAGAAAGTAGAGATTGATTGATTGATTGTGTTCCTCAGATTACGGCTGTGAGGCGGAGGAGGAGGAAGTCTTCTAGGTCCGTCCTGGTGACCTTTGACGTCTCTGTCCAGTTTTTGAAGGTCTGGATCTGCCAGACTGAGGCAGCTCGACTTTGATGGATCAGGGTTATAGATCCATGACAGATATCAGTGATCAATCAAACAAGGTGAATTATTGATGAAAAGCATCACTGCACTTTTGATTTTGATGCTTTTTATTTTGATTTTAAATCATTTGTTTACATCAAGTTGAATTAGTTTTAAATTTGTACTTTGGTTGATTGATCACTGATTGATTGATTTTATAACACTCATGTTCATAATGTAAAAAGCACAGTGGTAGTTTCAGTCAGATGTTTGTGTATTTTTAATATCCATGTGTATAAAGATAAAATGTTGATGTAGGTAAATTTTAATCAGCTTTAATTTTCTTTAGACTGAATCAGCTGTTTTTAGTGTTCTGGTGTTTTATTTTGACAGGTCAGTTATAAATGCATAATTGTGACCTTTAGTCTGTTGTTCCAGATGAGATGTAAAAACATAATGATGACACTGAAACAACAACAACAACAACAACATTCCCTCAGAGAATAAACAAACTCTGATTTTTACAGTTTGTCTTTGTCATGTTTTAAATAAGAGAAAAGTGACATGTCACATTATCAACATTTAAAATCTGAAACCACTGAGTCACAGCAGCTACCAATCCAATATCAGATTAATATCTGATCAATATTTCTTTGAGGGGTTCATGGGACATCCTGACTGCTCCGCTCCTGACAGTGGACGGCTACATGTTAGCTGTAAGCTAGCTGTTTCTCCAGTTTAAACATCTCTAACTTGAATGTCTTTTTGCATCAGTTTGTTATGTCTCAGTGCTTCTGAACGTAACTCAACATTCTACAGGAACACAGATGGAACATCTTCTCACTGGAAGTCATTTATTCACACATAACATTTTTAAAGAAGCAGTCCAATAAAATGACTGTTTGTTTTTCCACCTTCAGTGGAGCCAACGGTTTCTCCTGCTCCCAGTGTGAAGCTAGGCTAACAACCTCCTGGACCTGTCTCTGTCCTGGACTCAACTGGTCTGACTGAGAAACAGAGATGGTCCTTTAAACCTCTGTAAGGTCCAGATGCAGGATGTCTGCCTCGGACTCTTTTTGTTGAAATGTTGGACAGAGACACACTGAAGATCTCATCCTTTCAGACCGCCTGTCAGACGAGCTGCAGGGTTCACTATCACAGAGACTCAGTATCCAAATGTCTGTTTTATGGCCTGGAAGTAGAAGCGGGTCCAGCCCTCCCTGGTGGAGTCCTCCTCCCCAGCAGGGACTCCTCGACACTCCATCCTCAGCTCAGTCTCGTCTCCTCGGTCCTCCAGGTCCAGACTGATGGTGGCGTAGTGCTCTGTTGGGGAAACGAGAACAAACCTCAGATGTCCGAGTGTCCCTGAAAACACAGCGTGTGACAATGATGCAACAGGAAGACGCACCGCTAGGCCACGTCCTGAACCGCCACCTCATCTCGATCCTCTGGTCCGGCACCTGGGGGGACGAGCAGCGGTCTGGTTACCATGGTGATCTGACACAGTCTTACTGACTTCCAATTGGTTGATCAGCTGTAACCTCACCAGCTGTGTGAACTCTCCGCTGACGCTCCCATCCAACAGCTGGAACCTGCCTCCACGACAACCGTTGACCAACGCCACCGAGCGCGTGAACACCTGAACAAACTGGAAAGACAGTAAGTATTGCAATTTTACTATGGTACTGCGGTACTACTGCGGTACTACTATAGTACTGGTCTGTCCTGGTTGCATTCCTGTCCTGGTCTGGTCTGGCTCAGTCCTGGTGTGGTTGGGTCCTATTCTGGTCTGGTCTGGTTTCAGTCCTGGTCTGGCTCAGTCTTGGTCTGGACTGGTCTGGCTCAGTCCTGGTCTGGACTGGTTTAGTCCTGGTCTGGTCTGGCTCAGTCCTGGTCTGGACTGGGCTGGTTTAGTCCTGGTCTGGACTGGTTTAGTCCTGGTCTGGTCTGGCTCAGTCCTGGTCTGGTCTGGTCTGGCTCAGTCCTGGTCTGGACTGGTTTAGTCCTGGTCTGGTCTGGCTCAGTCTTGGTCTGGTCTGGCTCAGTCCTGGTCTGGACTGGTTTAGTCCTGGTCTGGTCTGGCTCAGTCCTGGTCTGGACTGGTCTGGCTCAGTCCTTGTTGCGGACCTCCTGGTTGATGAAGGTCCTGTAGAGCTCATCAGCTGATGTCTGGAAGGTCTCCTTCAGATTAAAGATGCAGGTTGGGATACAAACACCTGAAGGACAGGGGGCAGGGCTAGAGGAACACCTCGGGGTGGAGCTGATCTGTGGGAACCACACAGAGGTCAAAGGTCATGTTCAGTCAACATGAGCGGCAGCTGAAACTAGTTCAGAACTGGACTCCACCTGGGCTCTACTGGTCTTGATCTGGTTCTTCTGGGTCAGCTCAGGTTGAGGTTTTGGTTCGTTGGTAGAGGGCAGGATCATCCCCTGACTGAACTCTGAGGTCAGAGGTCAAAGGTTACCACAGGGATCTTAGGTTCAGACCTGTTCAGACCAGTTCACCTGTTCATCAACAGTGATCAGCTCTAAGTTCAGGTGTGAACAAACCCATGACACAGTGAGGACGACTCTGAGACCCGATGACCCAGACCACATTCAGAGGTGGTCTAGACCAGGGGTCGGCAATCCGCGGCTCTGGAGCCGCATGCGGCTCTTCAGCCCTTCTACAGTGGCTCCCTGTAGCTTTGAGAAAATAAAATAATATGCAAATAAATATATAAATAATAAAACGGCTATTTTTTCTTTTAAAGAGACACGTAATATTTTGGAGATCGAGGTGATACTGATAATATTTCGTCAACTAAAATATACGTCACATCTTACAACGTCTCCATAGCAACGTTTACAGCCTACCGCCTCTTCCTGCCGCCGATAGTTTCAGAGTTTCAGACCCCCAGTAAGCTAACCATGGATAAATCCAAAAAAAGAAAAGGAGGAGGAAAATAGAGAGTTTAATTCTGAATGTCTGGATGGTTGAATGTTGTACTTGGCTGAGGATAAAAACAGAAGAGGATGATTGCACAATGAAATGGACTTGAGTCATAATTAAATACAAACTGTTCTCATGTTTACTCTTCTTAAAGCTTTTAGGCTGCAGTTACATGTTTTATTCATTTCAAAGTGGGTTACTTTTTATTTTTTGAATCCTCCACAAATAAAAGAAGGACTCAATAGGCCTGCATAGATCTGTTTTATTTAAAAGTAGGCGTACACATGTCAGTGTTTGTTTCTCCTGTTCATAAGAGTTTGGTGTTTTCCTTTGTTACAACAGGTAAAAGCAATGAAACGTCAACAGTTTTTTTTGTAGTTCTATAATTTCATAAATAAATGAACTATTTATAAAACTTTAACGCTGTGTTATCTTCATTTTAAGGGTCGAATAGGTTTTGCGGCTTCAGATGATTTTTATTTGTGGGAGAGGAGACAAAAATGACTGTTTTAATAATAAAGGATGCAGACCCCTGGCCTAGACTGAACAGGTCAGAACTGGTCTGAACAGGACCATACTGATCTCTGATTGGTCAGCGGTGATGCGTTCAGGTACCAGACCTGATTTGAGCTGGTGGACATACTCGCCCAGAATCCTGCGGACCTCCGGAACCCCGGTCCTCTTCATGAGGTCGAGGAGGGGCGTGTTGGGCTGGTCTTTACACAGAGACACCGAAATCTGTACAGGAGCATGGTCATTAATACAATCACTGATCATTACTCTGATCACTGCACTGTCTGATCAGGACAAAGAGGTTGTTGACCCACATCCAGGTCGTCCATGTCGTTCTCGTCGGACAGGTTGGACACGTCCACAGTTCCTCTGTACTTCACTCCACTGCTGGACGTACCTGTAACGGTCAGCACCACAGAAGAAGAGGGACACCTGTGTGATGTCAGAGTGCAGCAGGTAAAACATGACATCACCTTCAGACACAAGCCTCCACCCATACTGGACACATATGTGTATATATTATTACTAATCTAACCAAATACCGCAGTTGCAGGTACAGAAGCAGCACCTTGTTCCCAGTGCAAATTACCCACAATCCTCAGGAGTAACGATCCAGAGTTACCTAGAGTGTGAACAGGACTGTGGACCTGGACCAGTGAGAGACCCGAGTCTGTATTATGTTGGCTCACTTTGTACATGTGAAACACCTATAGTGTGATGTCACCGATCACATTTCAGTGTGTGACATCATCAGTGATCTCACGGACGGACTGACCCAGCCAGCTGGCCCGCAGCTGCCACTCGTAGAAGAAGAAGAGTTTCCCTTTGCGGTTGTTGATGGAAGCTTCTCCGTCCAGTTTATTGACGTCGGTCAGCTGACACGCCCCCTCCGGTCCCGCCACCCGGACCCCAAGCAACAGCTGACGGAGACGCTGCAACGACCAGCCCGAGACGTCCCGCTCCGTCCTGAGGACAGAGACAGAGACCTTAGTGTTCCTGCTGCTCCCGGACTCACAGAGGAGGACTGAGTGAAGGAGTGAGGGAGTGAGTGAAGGAGTGAGTGAAGGAGTGAGTGAGGGAGGGAGTGAAGGAGTGTGTGAAGGAGTGAAGGAGTGAGGGAGGGAGTGAGTGAAGGAGTGAGGGAGTGAAGGAGGGAGTGAGTGAGGGAGGGAGTGAAGGAGTGAGGGAGGGAGTGAGTGAGGGAGTGAGTGAAGGAGTGAAGGAGGGAGGGAGTGAGGGAGGGAGTGAAGGAGTGAGGGAGTGAGTGAGGGAGGGAGTGAGGGAGTGAAGGAGGGAGGGAGTGAGGGAGTGAAGGAGGGAGTGAAGGACTGAGTGAGTGAGTGAGGGAGGGAGTGAAGTAGTGAAGGAGGGAGTGAGTGAGGGAGTAAAGTGAGTGAAGGACTGAGTGAGTGAGTGAGGGAGGGAGTGAAGGAGTGAGTGAAGGACTGAGTGAGGGAGGGAGTGAAGGAGTGAGTGAAGGAGTGAGGGAGTGAGTGAAGGAGTGTGTGAAGGAGTGAGTGAGGGAGTGAGTGAAGGAGTGAGTGAGGGAGTGAGTAAAGGAGTGTGTGAAGGAGTGAAGGAGTAAAGGAGTGAGTGAAGGAGTGAAGGAGTAAAGGAGTGAGTGAAGGAGTAAAGGAGTGAGTGAAGGAGTGAAGGAGTAAAGGAGTGAGTGAAGGAGTGAGTGACGGAGTGAACACAGAAGTTAAAAATCACTGCTAACAAGTGATAATGTAAAAGTCATGTCTGACGTCATGGTAACAATAATAGGTGTATAAAAATATCTTCAAGTGCTGAAGCAGCTGCAGGGTCATGTAACACACACACACACACACACACACACACACACACACACACACACACACTGCAGTCCTAAAATAACCCCCCCCCCTCCCCCACACAGACAGACTGATTTCTCTAGACTCTTCTTCTTCTGTTTCTGATGAATCAGCTGATCAGATCAAATCAATAACTTCAACGTCGCCTCCTAATGGTCAAAAACAAGTCTGGATTTCAGGTGTTCCAGACACCTGTCTAGTGCACTCACCTGAGGCAGACACACACACAAAAACACACACACCCTTTAATATTAATATTAATGAAGAACAGACCAGTGCCAGTTGTTGACGTTGGTGGCGTCAGCTCTCTCCTCAACAATCCATCGAGGATCTCCTTCTCCCCATTTGGCCATGAGTGATAACTAATCACTGATCACTGATCAATACTGACTGAAAAACAGGTTATAATACTGCTCTAATAAAAAATACTGCAGTACTATAGCTGTATTACTATAGTCCTGGTGTCCTGACAGACTGAAGTTGTGCCCAGCTTCTGTCTCTGATCAGCTGTTCCACAGCAGCTGAAACATAAACCACGGTGACTACTTCCTCTGACGACTTTCAAAGTAAAACTCCACTCTGTTCCTACTCAAAACATCAGTCTGATAATAATTAGTCTGTAATTCCTTTCTGGAAATCAATAAAGTCTGATTTGATCTGGTCTGGTCTAGTACTTTTACTGTGAAACTGTCACTACATTTGACTGCCACTATTTCTAATTGGGATTCTGAATGCAGGGTTTTATTTTGTAATGAAGTTTTTCTTTGCTGTGGTAAAGGATCAGATGAAGCTCACCAGATGCGGTTGAAAGATTCAGTTGTGTGTTACATGATGAAGTTTATACTGAGACCTCTAGGAGAGTCCCGAGCCCGGTGTTGAGAACCACAGTACAGAAGTGTCACCTGCAGTCTGTACTGTGCTGCTGCATATGGTCAGACTGGTGTCAGTGGTGTTACTGGTCTATTATTAAAGTAATACTGTGTCAAGTCAGTCAATTTTTATTTGCATAGCACCAATTCACAACATAAGTTGTCTCAAGGCTCTTTCCAACTAGAGCAGATCTAGACCTTCTCTTTATAATATTATTTACAGAGACGCAACAACTCCCACAGAGTGCAGCACTAGGCTGCAAGGACAGACTTCCTTTTAACATCAAGCAGAACCGGACTCAGGGTGGGCGGAGCCATCTGCTTCAACCGGTTGGCTTAGAGAGAGAGAGAGAGAGAGAGCATGTGGAGAGCGTGGGGGTTGAGAGAGAGAAAGAGAGAGAGAGAGAGGGGAAAAGAACAAGGAAGTACAGGAATAACAATATGAATAATAGTGACAGTAGCAGCAGTACTGTAGTGCTCCTACTGATAACAGTAGTATTGACAGCTAATAACATTAATAATAATCATTGATAATTACAGTAAATTTTAGCAGATTTAGCAGCAGGAGTTAAACAGGATCATGGAGCAGTAGCTGGTTTGCAGCTGCAGGTCCAGACTCTACATCTCTGGAGGCGGGAGGAGCTGCAGGGAGGAACAGGGAGGAGAAAGAGAAGGAGAAGGGACAGAGAGAGGAACACAGCCTGGGCGCTTCATGTGCTTGAGAGAAAAAGCAAACGGTTCGAATAATGCAGTGGAAGTAGAAGTACTTTTACATGCAGTTGTCAGAGGAAGTACTGCAGTACAAGTAGTCAAACTAGGAGGTACTCACGTCATCTGAGTACAAGTACCTCCAAACAGTGTACACAGCTGGTTTCAGTCCACAGCGCTTGACTACAACTCCCAATAGCCAGCGCGGACCGGAAGCCGTGCAGCCTCCGTCAGAGAAGACGAAGAAGAAGAGAAGCCGCTGCAGCTGAAGGTATGAACAGCTGATCAATTTTGATCGATTATCAGTTTTATACTCGAAGGTTTTTGATCTGTCAGTTCAATTTACAGCTTTAAATATTTTGCTGACGTCACTGTTCCCGCCGTTTGTCAGTGAAACAAAGCGTTAAATCCTTACGTTTCTGTTAGCCTGCTAGCATGCTAACTAGCCTGCTGCAGCCAGAAATAAACAAAATACACGTAGAGTACACACCTGCACACACACTTGGACATCAGATAAATTGTTGCTAACGTGAGAAAATTAGTTTTGATAATCCGGTGTGTTAGCAGTAGAATCTAACATAGAAGCTAATTGTTGATACTGACAGTATAAATAAAGTTTGTTGTGTGTGCAGATGATGAAGAGTAAAGCCGATGAGGAAGACTACTGGAACAGCTCCAAGTTTAAAGCGTTCACCTTTGACGATGAAGACGACGAGTACAGCAGGGTAACACCTCGTCCTGCATACACCTGGACAAACCTGGTCCTGCACACACCTGGATCCAGGCTGACCTGGGTCTGAAACTGGTCTCATAGTGTACAGCTCTGATTAACACCTGTCCACAGGTCTGAGTCCACCTCAGGTCCACAGTGATCTCAGTTCTTGGGTCTTGGTTCTTGTGGGTGTTGAGAGTCTGGTCCATGTAGTCTGACTCCTCAAGACTGACCCGGACACTCATCATGGTGTTGGAGCCATGTCCAGGCTCAGGACTCAGTCCTGTTTCTGAGGAGGTCCAGTTGTTTGTCAGAAGGTTCAGGGTCCAGTTTGGAGACTGAAACTGTATCAGAGACCTGCACAGTCCACAGACCCGCACCGGTCAGAGACCTGCAGAGCAGAATTTGAGGTTAACGAGGTAACTTCAGATGGAGAGTTACATGGTACATCACCGTGGTAACTCATGCTGCACACCTGTTCGAAATAACAGATCAACACATATCAGAGCTCCGCCTCCTGATCAATCAGTTCTCTTGGAAAATGATGAATGAGAGAGTCTGTTAGTGTGGCCCGTCCTTACTATATTACCTGTGTTTCCAGGTGTGTCAGTGACACCTGTGTTTCCGGGTGCGTCTGTACCTGTGTTTCCAGGTGTGTCATAGATACACCTGTGTTTCCAGGTGCGTCAGTACCTGTGTTTCCAGGTGTGTAATAGATACACCTGTGTTTCCAGGTGTGTCAGTGACACCTGTGTTTCCAGGTGCATCTGTAACTGTGTTTCCAGGTGTGTCATAGATACACCTGTGTTTCCAGGTGCGTCAGTACCTGTGTTTCCAGGTGTGTAATAGATACACCTGTATTTCCAGATGTGTCAGTGACACCTGTGTGATGATGTTTGTCTCTGTCAGTTAAAAGAGTCGAAGCAGGCAGTGAACAGCATTCGCAGACTTGTGGAGGAAGACGACGATGAAGATGATGTGGAGAGGGTCAGCTGGAGCGGAGAACCCGTCGGGAGTAAGAAATCATCACTGCTATTATGGTTAACATCTTTGCAGAATGCTGAGCTGTGATTGGCTGAAGGGTGTACGTGACTCTCCTGTGCATCCTCAGGTATTTCCTGGTCAGTCAGAGAGACAGCAGCGTCCAATCAGAGGACAGACAGAGAACCCGCCTTCCCCAAAATCAACACTGACACCCCGACCATCAGCAAGAGTCATTCAGGATACTCCCTGAGCTCTCTGTTTAAAGGTGAGTAGGCGATCAGGTCACATGACTCAGATTCATGTGTTCACAGACTGAAGGTTTAATCTGTTTCTCAGCAGGAAAAACTAGAGGAGGAAACTTCCAGACCTTCACTGACCGTGAGTTTCAGATAGATGAATGACTGAGTGAAGGAGTGACTGAATGACAGAGTGACCGAGTGAGTGACAGACTGATGCTGATGTCATTGTGTTTTAGCGCTCAGCGACACGTCTGTCAGGCTTTACGCTCCAGAGCTCCGAAAACCCAAATCTGAATACAAGGTAACAAGAAGACTGATAATCTGATTACAGACAGTCTGAAAATCCGTTTTGTTTTTCTGCTGTGCTAATGATGATGTCATCATGTTGTGATGTCAGGATTTCGTCAGTGACTGGTCGCCTGAGGAGACGGTTCACAGAATGCAGCAGGGAAAGGTAAGAACACCTGTATATGGCTCACCTGGCTTTGACAGGTGACAAGCTGCTGTATCATTACAGGGAAACACTTTTCCTTTTCAGCATGAATGTACAGAAACACAGAGCAGTGTTGCAGTATTACTGTGTATTTGTACTGTGCTTGTGTACTTCAGGCTGTTTCTCTGGAGAAGTTTCGGTCTCTGCAGGACAAACTTTTGCTGCTGGATTTCGGCGTCAGCGCTCATGATGGAAATGTCATCACTGCTGTAACTTTATTTACAATCAGATTTACAACAATCACATTAATCTATGAAATTTATTAATAACTTAATGAAGACAACTGACCACAAAGTTGTTTTTCAGGTGTTGATTTATTTGAAGAGGACTCTGAGTAAAGGTGAGTCAGCTGGTCCTGATCATGGATCAGTTAGTTCAGACTCTGGATCAATCAGTCCTGATCCTGGATCAGACCTCTCTGTATAAGGTCTGATACTTTGTGTTTTTGTGTTCAGAGGTTTTGTTTCGGGAGCTGGAGTCCAGACAGACGGCTCTGAGACATTTCATCCACTACCTGACTGAAACCAGAGACCAGAGGCTGCTGCTGGAGCTGCTCAGGTGTTCACACCTGTTCTGTATCTGTGTGTACACCTGGACTCATGTTAACAGTGTGTTTACATTCCTTTCTCTGTTCATCCTCAGAGCTCTGGGCAGGACGGAGGACGTGGCGGTACGTAGTTCACACTGCTAACACAGCAGCAGTACCAGTAGTAGTACACAGTACTAACACAGCAGCAGTACATCATCAGAGGCCTGTACTACGAAGCAGGATCTGAGGTTATCGAGGTCACTTCAGGTTTAAGTCTGTGTTTTCAGTCTTTCAGTCCTACGACAGGACCGAGGTAAATCACCATGGTAACTGATGGTGAACTCCTGACCTGCTCCAGCGCAGGTAAGTTAACCTGCTCCAGCGCAGGTTAACTTAGAGGATCAGATCAGAACCTGTCAACAGCCAAACTACTGACCAATCAGATCACTGGAAAAACTGAGTCATCATTCCTACAGGATCCTGACAGGGACAAAAGAGTTCACAATAAAGTGATCAATAATAACGATCAGTAGATATAACATATAGATCAGTGGAATCGTTTTCCTGTTTGAGTCTTTCCATGTGTCTCTCTGGTTTTAAACCAAAGCTTCTGCAGAATTCACAGTTTATCACTAAATAAAATCTAATCACTGTCAGATCTTCATTTGACCTGAACACAGATTCTTTAATGGAGGATTCCTGCCAGTGATGAAGCTTTTACTCTCCTCTTCATCATTGAGCTCAGAACAACATGAGGAGACTCTGTGACACGACTGGAGAGAAACCTGAACCTCTGATGTCTTTGATTAGAACAATTAGTCTCACTGTTAATTATTTCATCATTAGAATGAACATTTCAACTACTCTCCTCCTCTTCCTCTCCTCTTCCTCTCCTCTCCTCTTCCTCTCCTCTCCTCTTTCTCTCCTCTCCTCTTCCTCTCCTCTTCCTCTCCTCTTCCTCTCCTCTCCTCTTCCTCTCCTCTTTCTCTACTCTTCTCCTCCTCTTCCTCTCCTCCTCTCCTCTCCTCTTCCTCTCCCCTCCTCTTCCTCTCCTCTTCCTCTTCCTCTCCTCTTTCTCTCCTCTTCCTCTCCTCTCCTCTTCCTCTCCTCTGTCTCTACTCTTCCTCTCCTCTTCCTCTCCTCTTTCTCTCCTCTCCTCTTCCTCTCCTCTGTCTCTACTCTTCCTCTCCTCTTCCTCTCCTCTTTCTCTCCTTTCCTCTTCCTCTCCTCTTTCTCTACTCTTCCTCTACTCTTCCTCTCCTCCTCTTCCTCTCCTCTTCCTCTCCTCTTTCTCTACTCTTCCTCTCCTCTTTCTCTACTCTTCCTCTCCTCTTCCTCTCCTCCTCTTCCTCTCCTCTTTCTCTACTCTTCCTCTCCTCCTCTTCCTCTCCTCTTTCTCTACTCTTCCTCTCCTCTTCCTCTCCTCTCCTCTTCCTCTCCTCTGTCTCTACTCTTCCTCTCCTCTTCCTCTCCTCTTTCTCTCCTTTCCTCTTCCTCTCCTCTTTCTCTACTCTTCCTCTCCTCTTCCTCTCCTCCTCTTCCTCTCCTCTTCCTCTCCTCTTTCTCTCCTCTTCCTCTCCTCTTCCTCTCCTCTTCCTCTCCTCTTTCTCTACTCTTCCTCTCCTCTTCCTCTCCTCTTTCTCTCCTCTTCCTCTCCTCTGCAGCAGAAACAGTCTGACATGAACTTTAACTGTTTTCTCTGCATCACATGTTCAGAACAGTTTGTTCATCATCAGACTCAAGAGCGAAAATACTCAAACGTGAAGATAATTAATTCACTTATTACATTATATCTTTAGTCTGACTTTAACAGAAATTATATTTGACCTTGAAATAATATTTTTTATTCCAGTCATGTGATCATATTGTTTACATTTCACCTCGTTGAATGTCACTGTTGGACGTTGCTATAACTGAACTAATCTGCAGGTGTCAGCGTGTTTACTCATATCATATTAAGAACTTTATTCATGGTTCAGATGATGTTGCTTATAATTAAAACTCTGCCTCTTTCACATGAACGCGCTCGTAGCCGGACAGGTAAACCCGGGGTTAACTGAGCCAGGTGCTAACCTGCTTTGTGGTACAGGTGATCAGGACAGTCAATGTTAGGTTCAGTCAAGCCAGATAAATAAAAGTTATTCTGGGTATGTTAGACTTGCTTTGTAGTACAGGCCTCAGGATTGACAGGAAGATTAATTTCCTTTCTGTTTCCATGGCGACAGCTGCTGCAGTATAAAGAACACCTGAGCATCGCAGATGAAAACAAGAGGAGGGACTTCCTGAAGAGCTGCCTCAGGTGAGTGACACCTGCATCTTACAGCAGACTGACGTACAGTTTAATGTTGACTGGTGGTTGTTTACTGTTGGTTGTTTACTGTTGGTTGTTTTCTGTTGGTTGTTTTCTGTTGGATGTTTACTGTTGGTTGTTTTCTGTTGGTTGTTTTCTGTTGGATGTTTTCTGTTGGTTGTTTACTGTTGCATGTTTACTGGTGGTTGTTTACTGTTGCATGTTTACTGGTGGTTGTTTACTGTTGGTTGTTTTCTGTTGGTTGTTTTCTGTTGGATGTTTTCTGTTGGTTGTTTTCTGTTGGATGTTTTCTGTTGGTTGTTTACTGTTGCATGTTTACTGGTGGTTGTTTACTGTTGCATGTTTACTGGTGGTTGTTTACTGTTGGTTGTTTACTGTTGGTTGTTTACTGTTGGTTGTTTTCTGTTGGTTGTTTTCTGTTGCATGTTTTCTGTTGGTTGTTTACTGTTGGTTGTTTTCTCTTGGTTGTTTTCTGTTGCATGTTTTCTGTTGGTTGTTTACTGTTGGTTGCTTACTGGTGGTTGTTTACTGTTGGATGTTTACTGGTGGCTGTTTACCGTTGGATTTTTACCGTTGGTTGTTTTCTGTTGGTTGTTTACTGTTGGTTGTTTACTGTTGGTTGTTTACTGTTGGTTGTTTTCTGTTGGTTGTTTACTGTTGGATGTTTACTGTTGGATGTTTTCTGTTGGTTGTTTTCTGTTGGTTGTTTTCTGTTGGATGTTTACTGGTGGTTGTTTACTGTTGGATGTTTACTGGTGGTTTTCTTTTGTTTGAAACCATTGTTTGTTTTCAGCCTTCCATTTTCTCCAGAGGACTCAGCTCATGTTCAGGACCACTACACTCTTATGGAGAGACAGATCATTATCGAGGTCAGAGACTTTAAACTGCTTTAAATCATAACATTATTTTTTTGTTTTTACATTGTATCACCTGTTTTTAATTTAAGGTAAACACAAGAAACTTGTGCTACAGAAAATGGACCAGACTCAGTGAATAGCTCCCTAAGCTTAACATCCTAAGTCCTATGATAAGTATTAATTTGGCTATACAGACTAATGAGCAGTGATAACTAACATGTCTTTGGGGTCATCAGGTGGGAACCTCCTTTCACCAGTGTTTCGTCTAGTTGGTCCCACGACACCTCCAGGAGGCTAGACAGTGATCACTGGCGTCCCAGAGTCACTCCCCTAATGCCAGCCATTACTGCTCCTCACACCACCACTTTTTTCCCCTTTAACATCATCAACTCGGACAAAACACACTAGCAGATTCAGCAAACAAAAACTCCCCTAAACAGTTCTGTTCTGTTGTGTTGGACTTACTGCCTCATCTGATGTCTTTTACTATTTTCCTCACACTCTGTCCACTTCCTCCTAACTCCCTCACCAAAGAGACAACAGACCTTGCTACAAATCCTCTACATCCTACTTCCACTGGACAAATCCTAACTTTCCATCCTCGCTGCTCTGCTTCTGCCCCTAACTCTACCTGTGAAAAAATACCTGAGCTTTTTCCTTTCATATGCTTCTTCAACTGAAGCCTCCCATGGAACAGTCAGCTCTATGAAATATACTTTCATTCTACTCCTAGACCACAAGACTATGTCAGGCCTTAGCTTTGTACTGGCTATTTCCTGGGGAACAACAAGCTTTCCTCCTAAATCTACCTGCATTTCCCAATCACAAGCATCCTCTAAGCTGCCTTGCCTCCTTGCTATCTTACCAACTTTCTCTCCCTCTTGAACAAACTTGATTGCAACTCTCTTTATTTTAGGCCCTCTTAAATTTGCCTGCCTCCGTAAGTCTTCAATTCCTGCAGCTAAGCTTTTTAAAACCTTGTTATGTCGCCACGTATACCGGCCTTGCGACAGACTAACCTTACAGCCTGACAAAATGTGCTTTAAAGTTGCAGTACCTGAACACAATGAACATAATGGGTCTCCATTTACCCAGAGTTTTAGGTTCTGGGGAGTTGGCAATACATCATATGTTGCCCCTATCAAAAATCTAATACTACTTTCCTCCATACTCCACAGCTCTTTCCAGCTAAGCTTTTTCTTGTCTACACCTTCCCATTTCAACCACTGTCCCTGCTTAGCCTGAGCCACTGCCTTTGCACCCCTTAATATTTCCTCCTGTCTACGAACCTGCTCCACAACTAGCTTTCTCTTCTCTTTGGGACCTGCTCTGTTTAAGGAGACTGTGAAGAAATATCCCAGTTTTTAACCCAGTTCACACTGAGAGCAGAAATCATGAATGAAACAGAGTTGGGTTTGAACCAACTCTGTTTCCATCATGGTTTCTGCTCTGTTTTGTTAATAGGCAACAGACCGGCAGGCTGAGCGTGGCGGGAAGGTGGAAGTCTTCCAGAAGTTTCCCAGAAGAGCTTCGATCCTCAACATGCCGCTCATCACCACACTGTACTACTGCTGCTTTTACCACTACACTGAATCTGAGGTCAGTTCTTATTGACATATACAGTAGACATAAATGCTTACATGCATACATGAATACATACATACACACATACACATATATACATGTATGTAAGCGTGTGTATGCATCTGTGTATTGGTGTATTGTTTGTAAGGATGTGTGTGTTTATGTAAATATGTCTGTATGTAAGTATTTGTATGTATGTAAGCATGTGTCATATGTGGCTTGATGTATGTATGTCTGCAATTATGTGATTAGGCTTGTATATATGTAAGCATGTATGCAGTTCTGTATTGATGTAAATATGTATGTATGTATGTATGTATGCAAGTATAGTATTTATTTTTGAGTGCATGTGAGCATGAGTATGACAAAAACGTCAAAGTATATTATGTCGTAAAGAATGTCATAGAAAACATCATGGTATACTGTATTATGTCATAAGAACACCAGTATACTGAGGCATAGAAAAAAACGTCATAATATAGTGAGGCATAAAAACTTAATTTTGGAGTAAGGTGTAAAAAGTCAAAATAAACATCATAGTAAGGCATAAAAACGTTACAGTATAGTGAGGCATAAAAAGTCGAAAAAGAATAGTATACCAAGGCATAAAAAAGTTTTTATTAAAAAGTGTCATAGTCTAGTAAATCACGAAAACATCATAATATAGTAAAACATAAAATCGTCATATTATAGTGAGGTATAAAAGGTCAAAAAAAGGTCATAGTAGAGTAAGGCATAAAGGGCATAAACACGTCATAGTATAGAAAGGCATGAAAAGTAAAAAAAAAACAGTATCATAAGGCATTCAAAGTTATAAAAACATCATAGTATAGTAAGGAATAAAAAGTAAAAAACGTGATATTATAGTAAAGAATAAAAACATAGTATAGTCAGGTCTAAAAAAATTAAGTCGTTATCAGTTTTAATGTTGTGTCTGATCAGTGTTTTTACATATGAACATACAGAGACAAATAAACAGTAGAAGTCGTTAATGAGTCTCATGTCTTTTTCAGGGAACTTACAGCAGTCCACTGAACATCCGTCACACCTTCAGGGTGAGAATTCGTATTTAAATGTACATGTTGAATATTGTCTCTGGTCACCTGGGTCAGTAACTACAACCACTGACCTTTGACCTCAGATTTCAGAGAAGCAGTACTTTGTGACAGCATTAGCAGCGAGGGCAAAGCTAAAGGCGTGGTTGGACCTGGACGCTCTGTTCACCAGCAGGAACTGGCTCGGCTTCACCAGGAAGAAGTCACCACTCAGCTTCCATCGAGTCGTCGACATCCTGCAGAAAAACTCCGCCCCCACTCAGGTGAGGGGGCGGGGCCATAGTGGGACATTACTGTGCATTTAAATGGAAGGGAGAGGAGTTGTGTCATTGGTGTACAGGTGTGTCATGTGATTGACAGGTGCTGCAGGAGTACGTTGGGCTGATCGATGATGCCGACCTCAGGATCAGTCTGGCTCAGAAACATAAATGTCATGACATCGTCATCAACGTGAGTCCTTAAACCAATCACAATCATTCAGGGCGGGGCTTAAACTGTCTGCTATGAAACTTGACACCTGTTAATGACAAGATGTCATGATTACTGGTGTGTCTCCGGGCCAATCAGACGTACCGGGACCTGAAGGACCGGCAGCTGTTGCTAGGATACCGGGGGAAGGTGGAGAGAGGATCAGCAGAGGAGAGGAAGATCAACGAACTCCTGGACAACCCGGTGAGGAAGAGGAGGGATGATGTTCATCTTCATCACCGTCAACATGTGACTGAATGTTTTTTCTCTTTCAGCAAATCCGCTGGAAGAACTGACGCTGCAGGACGAAGCCTCAATGACAGACTTTTATTGTGAAAAACTGTGACAACTTCCTGCATTAAGAGCCGGTGAAGGTCGTCCATCACCGTGACAACAGGAATGTCCAATCAGCTTGCATCTGCTTCACCAGAGAGAAGAACTGCTTTAACTCCGCCCCCTCAGCAGAGCGGGTGGAGCTTATTCGTCTGTTGAGTCATCGTCGAATCGTCGGCGTCGGCGTCGTCATGGAAACATTCCTTAAACAAAACAAACTTTTATAAAAATGAACAATAAACATATTTAAATGTGAAGTGGATCTGATTTAATGGAGGGGGGTGAAGGAGAGGAGGAATAGTGACCGAGAGGAGGAGGTGAAGGAGAGGGAAGGTAGTGAAGGAAAGAAGGAGGTGGTGAAGGAGAGGATGAAGTAGTGAAAGAAAGGAGGAGGAGGTGAAGGAGCGGATGAGGTGAAGGAGAGGAGGTAATGAAGGAGAGGAGGTAGTGAAGGAGACGAGGTAATGAAGGAGAGGAGGTAGTGAAGGAGAGGGAAGGTAGTGAAGGAAAGAAGGAGGTGGTGAAGGAGAGGATGAAGTAGTGAAAGAAAGGAGGAGGAGGTGAAGGAGAGGAGGTAATGAAGGAGAGGAGGAAGAAGGAAGGAGAGGAGGAGGTGGTGAAGGAAAGGAGGAAGTAGTGAAGGAGAGGAGGAGGTGGTGAAGGAGAGGAGGAAGTAGTGAAGGAGAGGAGGAAGTGGTGAAGGAAAGGAGGAAGTAGTGAAGGAGAGGAGGAAGTAGTGAAGGAGAGGAGGAGGTAGTAAAGGAAAGGAGGAGGTAGTGAAGGAGAGGAGGAGGTGGTGAAGGAGAGGAGGAGGTAGTGAAGGAAAGGAGGAGGCGGCTCCTCTGTCTGTTCTTGTTGATCATCAGCTTCAGACTTCCTCAGAGCGGGGGGGGGGGGGGGGGGGGGGGGGGTTAAGGGTGAAGGGTGAAGTGATGAATTAAAGATGGAGGATGAATAAATGATGTTCCCAGACATGTTTTTGTGCAAACACGTGACCTTCCGCCGGCACGCTCGCGCTCCGCAGGACGTCATTCACTACCAGACAGACAGCACGAGGACGCACACGGAAGATGCGCGAGACCAAGGTGAGTTAATACATAATCTGAAGTACGCTCTTCATCATATAACTGTATATTACTGTAGTACAGCTGTAGTATAACTATATATTACTACAGTATTACTGTAGTTAACAGATTTAACAGTACTGTTACACTGCATGTTAATGTCGTTTCTATGCTGTTACAATACACAGATCATTATTATCAATATTACTATTATTGTTATTATTATCATTATTATTATTGTTGTATTTGTTATTAGACTGTAACAGACTGCATTCATTCATTAACAGAGATCAGATATAACAACAATGTTTCCCTTTTTAACTGATTGGACCTGACAACAACAACAACAACAATAACAGTGATAATTATAATAATAAAAAAGTGATAATAATAATAATTATTATTGTTATTATTATTATTATGGTTGTGTTACTGATCATCAACAGTTCACGTGTCATTTATAATATGAAATATCAGTTTTGTCATAGAACAGAAATTCATGTTATTCTCACAGTAGTACTGTTACTGTTACCACACAGTACTCTGTACTACTACTGTGTCAGACTACTACTACACATGTAGTAAAACCATAATGTTTCTGTTTCTGAGTCTGATGACTGTTATTATATTATTATATTCATTGATGAATTGGCTTTATGTGTGAACTGATCAGTGATCAATTAAATCTTTGTTTTTCAATTAACCCTTGAAAGCCATATATCATTATCATAATTAATGTTACAGCTAACAAGGTCAGTAATCAATAATTAAAGCTCTGCCCCACCCACCTCCGGAATCCAGAGCATGTGATTGGACGCTGCTGACAGTCTTAGTTTGATTGACAGGTAAACTGATGATTGATTTGCTATAAATGAGTTGTTATTAACTTATTGATCAGAAGGGAAACTGAATGAGGTCACAGTGGCAATCAGCCAATCAGAGCACAGCTGCTGTGATTCTACTGGAGCTTTTATTTCCAGTAGAAACAGTTTAGTGTTCATGATGAAACATTCATGTGTGAGGCTCAGAAAACCAGAGAGCATCATGGGAGTTCGTCTGAAAAGGCTACTTTTATTTTGAAAACCAACTGAAATGTAGATGTTTCACTAACATCAGAGTACAAATACTCTACTAAACTATATTATAATAACTGAGCAGTAAAGTACAAGTGCCTTAAACCATGTCTAAGTGCGGTAAAGAGTGGGCGTCTGTAAACTCACCTGATGACATCATGTGTAGAAGTGGAAAATTATCTTTGACTCTGAAAAATCACGAAACAGAAAACATGAGAACAGGTCTCACACACACACACACACACACACACTTCTCTTCATCTTCATCACTGAAAGGAAATACAACCACTGAGACTGAAATCGGGGGGGGGGGTGAACTGTTTGTTTGTGAATCTGTGAGAATTCCCTCAAACCACAGAAGACAGAAAATCTTCCCTGCGAATATCAGGATGACTAAACCTGGAGATGCGAGGTTTCCAGTGAACGGTTTGGGGCCATGCTGAGTTTTTCATGCGGCAAACTGTTTCACTGTGAGAACCTAAAAAAGCCGTTATTGTGGCGGGGTTTTCCTGTCACCTGTCATACAGGAAACAGAGGCTTGACTGTGATTCTGTGGACGTGATCAGTTTGTCTCTGATCATGATCAACCACCAACAAACTCGTCACGGCTGCAGGTGATTCACATCACGATGCTCTTTTATTTTCCCGGCTGTGAGAGAAAAGTCAGCTCAGGTTTCACAACCACATGTATTGATCCAACTTCTGATAATCAATACTGATCATATGAAAGGCCGATGAGTCATAAAAACTTCATCACATATTTTCATATTTATTATTTCAAACTCACCTCATGGTCCATTTAGTAGCTGTTCTGGAGCTTTCATATATCATATCTCATGATCTTCATCAGAGGTTTTCAGGCCACACGACAATAATATTAAAACTTCATTATTGCTTCTAAAAAAGAAAATAAATAAGAAACGACAATGTAGATATTAGAGACACTGACAGACAATAGAACTTGTGATGTCAGTTCTTTATTGTTGCTGTTGTTCTGTGTCCCTGCAGACATCATCATCATCATCATCATCATCATCATCATGCATGAGCTGGTGACCGGGACAGCTTCTCCGATGAACAATGAGAGTGTGGTGGCGTGCGAGCATCCGTACGATGACGGCCGTCTGCCGCTGGTGCTGCTGTACAGTGTCGTGTTGTTTGTTGGACTTCCTGCAAACCTGCTGACGGTCTATCTCACCTGGCTGCAGGTACGCAGGAAGAACGTGCTGGGCGTTTACCTGTGGAGCCTGTCTCTGTGTGACCTCACCTACTTGTTGACGCTGCCCCTGTGGGCGGACTACGTGAGCCGAGGTCACCTGTGGCCGTGGAGTTCAGCCGCCTGTAAGCTGACGGGTTACATCTTCTTCAACAACATGTACATCAGCATCTTCCTGCTCTGCTGCATCTCCTGCGACCGCTACTTGGCCGTGGTCTACAGCGTGGAGGCCCGTGGTCTGCGGCGCCAGCGCATCGCCGGCCTCATCGCCCTTGTCATCGTCCTGGTGGTCGCCGTCGGTCACGTCCCCGTCTTCACTATGAGAGAGGGCGACGCCGGTGAGGGCAACCGGCGCTGCTTCGAGCCAATTCAGAGCAGAGTGGTCACGGGCTTCAACTATGGTCGCTTCATGGTCGGCTTCCTGATCCCGCTGCTGCTGCTGGTGGTGACGAATCACGGCATCATGGTCAACGTGCAGCGCAGCACGGGGCTGCGGCGGGAGCAGAAGGAACGTGTCTGCTGGCTGGCGGCGGCAGTGGTGGCCCTGTTCCTCGTCTGCTTTGCCCCGTACCACCTGATCCTACTGGCCCGGGCCATCATGTTCCACTTCTACTCGCCGGAGGATGGCGCCTGTCAGATCGAGAAGCTCATGTACACGCCCTACACCATCTCCCTCGGCCTGTCTACCGTCAACAGTGCCATCAACCCCATCCTCTACGTCCTGTCCAGCGACAACATCCGCAAAGAGCTTAGCCGAGGCCTCGCCCAGGTCTGCGACCGAGCACACCTGAGACCGCGATCCGACAGCAGCCAGAACAAGATCCAGCCCATCAAGAACTCCTCAGAGTTGAACGAAGCAACCGAGAGGCAACAAGGAGGAACACCACCAGGTACCTGACGGACCGACCTAGAGGTCCCTACTCGAGTCCACATGGCTTCGCTGGTCCCTGCTGATCTCTGCAAGAGTTAAACACTCTCTGCTGGATGTTGCTGGACTCTCTGGGCCTTTCATGGCCTGTAGTGGACTGTGCTCTGTTCTTACAGTCTCAGCAGTTGTGGGCCTAAAACATATACACTTTGCCTGAAGGTGGCGCTAGAGGAAAAATCATGGTGTCACTCATCCTCCGGAGTCCAGGACCAGGGACTTTGAGGAACTGGACTCACTGTCGTTTTGTCGTCGTCGTTTCTGTGAACACAAGAATCAATGATTCCACTTCTTATTAGAATTCATTAGATCACCACGTGTCTGAAACTCGTTTCTCACCATTGGCAGCTCATCAGGGTCACATCCTGCCACGGTAGATCACCATGGCAACCGATGCTGATGGTTGACAGCCCAAGTACTGACCAATCAGATCACTGGAAAGGCTGAGTGATGAATCCTACAGGATCCTGATGGGGACAGTAGATGTTAGTATATGTCTCAATGTCAGAGACAGAGGGAGGGAGACGCTCCTCCTTTGGTCCAACATGTGGACACACTGGATCTAAAGACTGTCCACATGTCTTCAGTGAAACCTGAACCAGCTCCTCCAGAGTCCTGATGTGTTGGAGATATGAGTTTTCCAGCTGACAGCAGGGACTTCCTGTCTGCACTGATTTGTGTCAATAAAGGTTTGAATAAAGTCTGAGATGCTGCTGAGTCATTTCCTGTTTGTCACATCAACGCCTCGCTCTCGTCCTGGCAAATGTTACCATGACAACAGGGAGTCAGACAAGAGTCAGTCTCACCTGTCTGTCTCTATCAGTAATATTAATCAGGTTTCCATGGTAACCTCGGGTGCTTTAATCAGCAGTGATGAAGTGAAGAAATTGTGACGGGTCACACCTTTAAGCTCATTAACTGGTTCTCACTGACATGGTGACTGGGTCGGAGGTCACATGACCAGGTTCACATCCAGAGACCAGAGGCCTGCACTACGAAGCAGGATCTGAGGTCATCAGGTCACTTCAGGTTAAACTCTGGGTTTTCAGTCCTATGACGGTGGTTCACTTGTTACCGGGATAAATCACCATGGTAACTTATGCTGAACTACTGACCAATCAGATCACTGGAAAAACTGAGTCATCATTCCTACAGGATCCTGACAGGGACAAAAGAGTTCACAATAAAGTGATCAATAATAACGATCAGTAGATATAACATATAGATCAGTGGAATCGTTTTCCTGTTTGAGTCTTTCCATGTGTCTCTCTGGTTTTAAACCAAAGCTTCTGCAGAATTCACAGTTTATCACTAAATAAAATCTAATCACTGTCAGATCTTCATTTGACCTGAACACAGATTCTTTAATGGAGGATTCCTGCCAGTGATGAAGCTTTTACTCTCCTCTTCATCATTGAGCTCAGAACAACATGAGGAGACTCTGTGACACGACTGGAGAGAAACCTGAACCTCTGATGTCTTTGATTAGAACAATTAGCAACACACTGTTAATTATTTCATCATTAGAATGAACATTTCAACTACTCTCCTCCTCTTCCTCTCCTCTTTCTCTCCTTTCTCTCCTCTCCTCTTCCTCTCCTCTTCCTCTCCTCTCCTCTTCCTCTCCTCTTCCTCTCCTCTTTCTCTCCTCTCCTCTTCCTCTCCTTTCCTCTCCTCTCCTCTTCCTCTCCTCTGCAGCAGAAACAGTCTGACATGAACTTTAACTGTTTTCTCTGCATCACATGTTCAGAACAGTTTGTTCATCATCAGACTGAAGAGTGAAAATTATACATGAAGATAATTAATTCACTTATTACAATATATCTTTAGTCTGACTTTAACAGAAATTATATTTGACCTTGAAATAATATTTTTTATTCCAGTCATGTGATCATATTGTTACATTTCTCCTTGTTTAATGTCACTTTAGGACGCTGCTTTTACCGATCTTATCGGCAAGTATCAACATTTCTTCTCATATTATTAAGAACTTCCTTCATGGTTCAGACCATGTTGCTTATAATTAACAACTCTGCCTCTTTCACATGAAGGCGCTTGTACCTGGACAGGTAAACCCAGGGTTAACTGAGCCAGGTGATAACCTGCTTTGTGGTACAGGTGATCAGGACGGTCAGTGTTAGGTTCAGTCAAGCCAGATAAATAAAGGTTATCCTGGGTATGTTGAACTTGCTTCGTAGTGCAGGTTCCAGGTCAGTAAAGATGGAGGTTCAGGTTAAATGTGAGGTGCAGGTGTAGGTGGTTCTGAGACGTTCCGGATGAACAGTTAAACTGATGAATGAACAAACGTGATCTGGTCTGGATTCAGTTTCTGAGTTCAACAACATGAGAGTCGTGCTGCTGGTTCACGTTACAATACGTTTAACACGTGAAACATCTGAACATGTTTGACCTGTGTGTTCTCTGTCAGTGGGCTCAGACGTGTCGAGACTCTGATGTAAAGGAGACGTTTCAGAACCTGAGCTGCTGCAAAATGAAACGGCTCGTTAACATGATGATTGAAGTCGTCAGCTGATCATTTCTGCTGCAGGTAATTTTGTTCTGATTTAGAGAAAGAAGAAGTGAACTCAACAGGAAGTTGAACTTGTGCATCAGGAAACACGTGTGTGAGTGTGTGCAAGTGTGTGGTTTTAACACTGTCACATTGTGTCTGTTAACAGGAAGTGAACCACGCTTCCTGGAAGAACAACAAACATAAATTTAAACATCATGAATCCCGTGGTGAGGGAAAATAAGTCCATAATAACTATAAAACTATATAACTCATAATAACTATTGTAGCTTTATTTGATTCTTTAATGGATCCTGACAGTGATGAAGCTTCTGCTCTTCTTCATCACTTAGCTCAGGATAACATGAGAAATAATGATCCACACACTATTCTACACTGATCAATAACTAAACTGATCAATACTTATGATTACAAATGAATATTTGACTCATCAGAAATCAACCACTTCTCTTTTCTTTCTCTCCTGTTTTCATCACATTCAGTTTCAGACAAAAGTAGAAATTTATTTTCTTTTTATCTTCATTTGAATTATTACTACTTTTTCTACTTTGTTTACATTTGACCTGATGACATCACTGTACCTGAGTTCACCTGCAGGTATCAGTGTTTCTGGACAGGTAAACCAGGTGAGAACCAGCTTCACAGAGCAGATGATCAGGTTGAGATAAACCAGATCACAGGAAGTTCTTCTGATGGCGGTCCGGGATACGGGAGTGTTTGTGCTGGTTCTTCAGTTTGTGTAAAAGCTGGTGGTTTGTGGTGGAAACAGATTCTCTGGACCCGATCCAGGTTCTGGAGGAGCTGCCGCCAGAATCCACATCACAGCAGATCCTCAGCAGGACTGTGAGACCTACACGTCAGTCCCTCTTCATCACTCATCATCCTCACTCAGTCTGAACAACAGTTTATCTGAGAGGAAGACCAGAGCAGGTGGTTGAAAGCTTCAGAAACAACATGTAAGTGAACAACAGTCTCTGACCTGATTCCTGTCCTGCCCTCTTACTGGTTCTGCTGTCTCCCTGCTCTCATCCGGACACTCTGATTGGCTGGATCCCGGTGTGTAAACAAGCAGAGAGCCACGCCTTCTCATTAAATATTCATTGGCCTGTCAGACACAATTTAGGGATTAATCAATCATTAACAAGGAGCCTGCAGTCTATGAGCTGAATTAAATATGAAGTCTGGCGGCGCCCGTCCTCTGACCTCACAGTGATGTCACAGCTTGAGGGAACTTCTTCACATTCACTTTGACTCCAGGATGAATTGATCAGAAATTGGTGGTCAAAGGTCAAAGGTCACAGGGTTTTGACCATAACTCAATAACTCATCTAATTATGACACAACTCAAGATAAAATAATGAAGTGAGGTCAAAGGTCATCTTCACTGTGACATCATCATGTTTTGCAGAAACACTTCAGGAAGGAGAGACTGTGAGCATGTTTCCTGTAACTTGATTGGTTGATGGAGGGAACGAGTCTCTCATTTGGTGTAAAACTGAAACTGTAGATAAAGATAAAAACAATGAAGGTGGTGTAAATATAAACATCAGCTGTCGGTTCACCTGTCCAGGTGTACGTACTCACTCACTCACTCACTCACTCACTCACTCCCTCACTCACTCACTCACTCACTCACTCACTCCCTCACTCACTCACTCACTCACTCACTCACTCCCTCACTCACTCACTCACTCACTCACTCACACACTCACACACTCACACACACACACACAGAGATTCAGATTCTTTTATTGTTTGTTTGGCTGCTAACAGGTTTTAGTTACAAAGATTCTTTAACTGGTGATTCTGGAAGAAACAGAGCAGTAGTGTTCAGGTGTGTCCCCCTCACCTGACCCTACCTGAGCTCTGATGTCAGAGGGCGGGGTCGGGGGGGCGGGGGGTTGCAACAGGAAAGATCATCACTGACACAAAATCAAAGATTATTTTTCTCTACAACAACAACAATGAAGATGATGTGCAACTTTAACAAAACTTCAAAATTAATTCATACAGTGTTTTTCCATCAGAGTGAGACCTCCCGTCTGACAGGAAGTTAGCCAGTTATCTCAGCGGCTAACAGCCCACTAAAGCTCAACAGGAAGTTCTTTAATGAAGAAGAAGAAGAGCAGGTGATTGGTCCCAGAGAGCCAATCAGAATAAAGGTCAAAGGTCAAACACACAGCAGCCATCAGCAGGGTTAAAACCAGGGGGCGGGGCTTCCCAGCAAGTAAAATCCAACAACATAAAAGCAGCAGGAAGCTCAGTCCGCCACAATAAAATCATCAAAGTAAAATCTAAACTCTCAGTCCGCAGCCTGATTGGCTCATTCAGCCCCTCAGGTGCTCAGGGGGCGGGGCCTCAGGGCTCAGAGTCCAGGCCGTCCAGGGTGAGCTGGCTGCGGTGGGGGGAGTTGGGGCTGGGGGGGCTGCTGGGGTTGGAGCTGTTGGAGGGGGTTGAGTGTTTGGTGGAGTCCGAGTCCGGCTGGGTGAGAGACATTAACAACACATGGAGAGGGGGGGGGGGGGTCTTTCATAATTTTTTTCCTTTTTATCTTTCATCAAGTTGAATTATTACACTGACTTCTCAATTTTCGTACGTTGTGTTTTTGGGTACAATTTGTACCACTGATTTTTGACAATCCAAACTGTAACCCTGAGTTCACTGCAGGTATCACAGAGTGTTTTCTAGGACAGGTAACACTTCAGGTGAGAACAGCTTCACAGAGCAGATGAATCAGGTTGAGATAAACCAGAATCACAGGAAGTTCTTCCTGATGGCGGTCCGGGATAACACGGTGAGTGTTTGTGTCTTTCTGGTTCTTTATCAGTTGTGATAAGGAAAGGGCGTGGCTGGATTTAGTGGTAGGAAAACTTTATGATTTTTCTGGATTTCACGAATCCAGGATTTTGGAGGAGCTGCCTGCCAGAATCCACATCACAACGCTAACAGATCCCTAGCAAGGACTGTGGACCTTACATGTCCTCGTCCTCTTTCTTTTACATCACTCACTATGATCATCCACTCCCTGATCAGTCTGACAAATACAGTCCTTATGTATGAGAGGAAGACCAGTATGCAGGGTGTTGAACGTTCAGGAACACACGGCATGTAGGAGTGAACAAACAGTACTCTCGACCTGAGAATTGCGACCTGGGTCCTGCCCCGTCGTTTACATGTGTTCTGCTTGATACTCCCCCTGCTCTCATCCGACACTACTTGATTTGGCTGGAAGTCCGCGGTGTGTAAAACCAAGCAAAGAGAGCGCACCGCCTCTCTCAATGTAAATATGTTCATTTGGGCCACTGGGCGTTCCGCCCCTCCAGACACTAATTTAGGAGTATAATCATCAATATCAAGGAGCATTTGACAGTCGTATAGAAGCTGAATTAAATATGAAGTTTGGCGTCGCCCGTCCATTGAGTCACAGTGATTGTCACAGCTTGAGGAATTTTCACAATTCACTCTTGACTCGCAGGCATGAATTGAAATCAGAAATTGGTGGTCCAAAGGTCAAAGTGTCACAGGGCTCTTTGACACATATCACTCAGAATAAACAATCATCATAATTATGACACAAACTCTAAAGATAAAATCTATATGTTAAGTGAGGTCAAAAGGTCATCTTCAAGGCTGTGAAAACATAAAGACTTGGAAATGGTGTGTTTGACTTGGCTTTAATTCTCTTCAAGGGGATTATGTCCATTTCCTTTAGCCGTTCTCGCTCTCTCGGCGGCTTGGACTGTTGCAATGGGAACAATACGTTGGACCCCTTGTTCAACAAATAGAAATGACAAATGCTATCAGATCAGGCTCTGCCGGCGTATAGAAATCAGTTTTTGACACAGTCTCTAGCTGTTTGATGCTCCACTGGATGGAAAGCGTCCACGGCAGCCCATGAAGGCTGATGTCACACTGATGTTTGCTGAAACGGTCAGTGTCAGTTGTTCAAGCTTCGAGACCTTCCATCATCCAAACCATGATGATGGGAGAGCCTGTGTGTACTGAGTGGTGACCACACCGAACGCTGATTTTACAAATTGAATGACCTACAATCCACTGAGGATATTATTACTCTGTCATTATAATTAAAAAATAATATAACATATGAAATCAGTGCATGAATGTAGGATATATTGGGAGTAATTAATTTCTATCTGCATACACATCTTTTGTTGATTATGGCTAGCTATGATGGTCTGCCTCAATAAGTGAGAGACTGTTTCAGTGTCGGAGAGTAATCCTCTGTGAATTGAACAACATTGAGATTTCCAGAGAGAGTTATTGTACTGTGAAGATGGTATAATTGATGCTAGCTTTTTATTTGTTAGAGACACCACCGAAAGCTGTGCACAGCGACTTTTTACACTTGTAAGTGAATTGCACTTAAGCGTGCAAGCTACTTGCTCAAAATATATTCAGCAAGTCCCTCTCTAAGTAAAAAGCACAAGTGGAGTTTGTGTTAAATAACAATGCCATTTCTTGGCATATTTAGGTTATATGATGGTGGGAACAGTCATAACCTTCCCATTCATAATATTTGGCAGAAAGTACTTTCACAGGAATGGAGACGACTGTGTAGCATTGCTTATTCTGTAACTTGATTGGTTGAATGGAGGGAAACTGATCTACTCATGCTGTGCTAAAAACTGGAAAATGTAGATAAAGAAATAAAAACAATTGAAGGTTGGTGATAATATAAACACAGTCGGTATTCACCTATACGTTGTAACGTACTCACTCACTCACTCCACTTCACTCACTTCACTCACTCACTCACTCACTCACTCGCTCACACACTCACAATTCGACTCACAAAACACACACCACTATACACACACACACACACTCACACACACACACACACAGAGATTCAGATTTCTTTTATTTTTGTTTGGCTGCTAACAGGTTTTAGTTTACAAAGTTCTTTAAACTGGTGATTCTGGAAGAAACAGAGCAGTAGTGGTTCAGGTGTGTCCCCCTCACCTGACCCTTCCTGAGCTCTGATGTCAGAGGGCGGGGTCGGCGGGGCGGGGTGCAACAGGAAAAGATCATCACTGACACAAAATCAAAGATTATTTTTCTCTACAACAACAACAATGAAGATGCCATGTGCAACTCTTCACACAAAACTTCAAAAATTAATTCATACAGTGTTTTTCCATCAGAGTGAGACCTCCCGTTGACAGGCCATTAGCCACGTTATCTCAGCGCTAACAACCCACTAAAAGCTCAAACAGCGAAGTTCTTAATGTAAGAAGAAGAAGAGCAGGTGATTGTTCCCAGAGAGCCAATCAGAATAAAGGTCAAAGTCAAACACACAGCCAGCCATCAGCAGGGTTAAAACCAGGGGGCGGGGCTTCCCAGACAAGTAAAATCCAACAACATAAAAGCAGCCAGAGCTCAGTCCGCCACAATAAAATCATCAAAAAGTAAAACTAAACTCCTCAGTCCTGCAGCCTGATTGAGCTCATTCAGCCCCTCAGGTGCTCAAGGGGGCGGGCCTCAGGGCTCAGAGTCCAGGCCGTCCAGGGTGAGCTGGCTGCGTGTGGGGGAGCTTGGGGCTGGGGGGGTCTGGGGTTGAGCTGTTCGAGGGGGTTGAGTGTTTGGTGGAGTCCGAGTCCGGCTGGGTGAGAGACATTTAACAAACACATGGAGAGGGGGCGGGGGGGTTCAGTTCATTCAGACCAGCCTCTGTCAAAGTGTTTGAAATTGAGTGTTTCTCTAATTGTGTGTGTGTGTGTGTGTGGTATGTGTGTGTGTGTGTGTGTGTGTGTGTGC